GAACAGATTTAACCTCCCACTTGAGTCCTTTCGTCCCCCGGTTTCCCCTGCCAACAAAGGAACCTTCACCACTTCCTCCCTCCCCCCCCCTCTCTCCGCCAGGAACAACCCTTCGACCTTGGAACACAAGTGCAATATTAGACAAATTTACGCTTCTATCGATAATCCTAAGACATCCCTTCCACTTGACCTGCGTCTTCAAATCAATTGTCTCCATTATCCCCTTGCTGGACTGTACCGTTTTCCCTATAACTACAACATCCTTCTGCTGCAACTGAGACACAGACAACCCATTTCGGCTTCATCCTCTACGACTCGACCGTTATTCCCATCCCTCTCGCACTTACTTCCGCTTGTCGTGGGAACACAGGATCGAGAACACCGCGTCTACAGGGCGACTTATCGATCTCTATTCACCCCCATCCAACCTCCCCCCTCCGTCATCATCGCGGTGGTCACGTCTATCCCCCTCCTCTCGTCGACTACGTCTACTTCCACCTTGTTCATTGTCTTTTAATCCAGAGACAATCGCGCCTCCTAGGAAACGGTTTGACTCGAGACTCGGGTTTCTACCAATCGAAGACGTCTTTTTTCTCCCCTTCCAGCGGGACTTGTCGCGGTTACTAGAGAAACTCTATAGTCTACATTCCTGGCCTTGCGTAGGCTCTCCAAAGGCACGCGACGCGCCTCTTGATTTTGACTCTGGTCCTTTCCCTCGCTACTCCTTTGGGGACTAGCTAAGCAATGACTTCTAACTGTAAGTGCGATCGGCTCTTCTGTTCCCTTCACAATATATGACCGGGAGATTTGTTTATTTCACCTCGCCTGTCCTCCTCCATTCCCCAACCTCGCACCCTCTCTTTCTTTCTCAGCTCTATTCCCAACATAGGTTGGCCTTCCTTCATTCTTGCTATTACTTGTGCATCCTGCTCAGCACATCCATCACTCTCTAAGGAACTCATCCTCACTGTCCCTCTCTATCTCTTGTTGAGATCGCCGATAGTTGTTTGTTGATCGATCTTGGTCCTCCGTTGCCGTTCACTACTTGTATACCTTTTCAGCGGACCTTGCCACATTCCCTAATATACTAATAATAACCCAACCAACCCGCGCTTGTTGTGTCATATACCCGCATCTGACGCTGTACACATCACTACTCAACTTCCTTATATTGTTGTTCTCTCCCAACTTCGTGGAGCTCCCATCTGCAATCACCTCCCCGCATCAGCTTGTGACGTTCCAACCAAAACTAAACAGTACGTCGGACAGGTGCCAAACTCGAAGTTCTCCCTGCCCCACCTCGCAAACACCGTGAGGAGAACGAAGAGATGAGACCCCAGGGTAGCTTGTCTGATCGCCTAACCGTCGAAGTTGATTGTACATCCCTGGGCTCGAACGAGTGCCCTTCCATGACCAGCTTTTCGCCTCTCGATTCACCAAAGACCACGCCTACCAGTGTTTATAGTCACGGGTCATTGCAGTCCCCTGGCTGGCACGAGGGCGGATCATTCCCCAGTCAGGCCTACGAGCGGCACAGCGGATCGACCCCCATGCGCAGTGCATTTCGCTTGGCCAGTATGACGTCGAACGATGTGATGGGTATGCCTTACTCCAATATGGAACCCCAGGAGCGCATGCCGATGACCGACTTCTTGTCTGGATACGATGAGAATGTTGAACAATTTTGGATCCCTTCGGAAGCCCCAAAAACATACGAGCATGGAGTACAAGGGCTCCCGTACCCTCCGCATATGCACCACTACACTACAATGGCTCGCCCGAATTATCGCCAGCACCATGCACCATATCTTCCAGAATCTGCAACCAACCCGTGTCTATCGCGCTCCATCTTCCATCATCAACATGAACGGATTCCGACTTCCATGTCAATGGGAAATATGATTCCTTGGATGGCTCCGCCCGCAGAATCGATTGCTCCACAGACGATTGCGCCCTCCCAGGTTGCCCCGGTCACCCCACCTCCGTCGTACTCGGAATTCCCAGCATCACTCGGTACCTTCAAGGCACACACCCCAGCCACTCCAGTGCGGTCCTGCTCACTGGGTAGTGGCTCTGGATCGGACACTCCTATCTCTCGACTGTCCGGTAGCATGGACTACATGGATGACTTTAGTCAATCACCCGTCTACCGGGACGGTCTTGTTCGAGTGCAGCGTCAGCCCTCTCGCAAGACTGCCCGGAAACAAGCCTCCAAGCAGAGCATGAGCCTGGAGAACCTACCATCTATTATCAAGCAGGTGCAATTTAAATGCAAAGAGCCCGGGTGCAAGGGACGTTTTAAGAGACAAGAGCACCTGAAGAGACATATGAAGAGCCACTCCAAGGAGAAGCCCCATGTTTGCTGGGTCCCTGGGTGTCATCGCGCATTCTCCCGCAGTGACAACCTTAACGCACATTATACGAAGACCCACAGCAAGCGAGGCGGCCGCAACCGCTACGTCGCTACCTTAGACGAGAACAGTCCCGACTACAACCCAGAGTATCGCGGTCAGCTTACCCCTGATGGGCGACCGCTTTATTCTCAAAAGCACGACGAGACCATGCCCGGCACGCGTCACATGAGTGTCGAGTGGGACGATTGAACGCGGGCGGAAGATTAGGACAGGCGGACCAAACCATGATACCCTTGGCGAACAGGTTGCCATTTCTCCTTTTTGGTCTTAGATGGGGACAGACACGCCGGGCCAGGCAGACCCGGTCGGCGCTTCGCGGCGTTTTTGTTGTAAAACATACCTGGTTATATACACCGGATAATTTCCTTTGTTGGTTTTGATGTTGCATATCCCTTTTCCTTTTCTTCAAAGTTCGTTTCCTATCCCTCTTTCATTTATCCACCCATCGTCCAAAAAATGTGTCTTTGGAAGGCTGAGGAGGCTTATCCCTATATCGAATAATAATGCATTGAACGCTGAAACAAAAGCATGGGAAAGTTTTGTACACTTCAAGTGACCGCTGTTTGTCTGCTATGCTTGATCTGATTGATCTGATTGACTACTGGACACCATTATAGGAGCTAATAACCGATGGACTGTGGATGGAAGCCCGAAGGAAAACTATGGAACGCCAGTGGAAAGAGAACGAAGGGATGAAAGAGCTAATTTTTTTTCTGTCAGGTCTGATGCAGTAACCTTTTCCTTTGTCTTGTATTATGATGGATCAAATCTTGACTTTCTTTTTACTTTTACTTTCTTTTTTCTCTCTTGGAGGTTCTGACCCCCCATACAATGTACTGTCAAGTGGAGATTCGATGGCTCAGCGTGGTTTTTAAAGTCCGTTGGATGAGCTGGAACACATCATCTTGGCCCAGGCGTGGGGCTAGCAAGATCGGGCCGAGGTAAAGTCTGTCTCAAAATGATAGCCCGTCGTGTCCAGGGGAAGCAAAATGGATGGATTTGCGTAGAATTGGGGATCAATGGGTGGATGTATCATGTCAAAAACATTTAGTTTGTTTAGTTGAAAAAAAGGTGGAGATGTGTACATTCAGTGATGGCCCTGTCTCTCCACTTGCTGGCAGATTCCCTATTGGCGGAAGGTCTGCCGCTTCCCATGGATCTGTTCTATCTTACCGATACCTCAGGCAGTCTAGACTCAAAACAGACAAACACATCCACTGTGGAACCCAAAGCTTACTACGGAGTACCTATGTATGTACGGAGTACGGAGACCTCCAGGCTCTCGAGTACTCATCATGGATACTCAAAGCAACTGCTCCACTGCAATGGAAATGCCAGATCTTCCCGATGGCTAGTCACATACTGAGAGTACGTACTAGATAGTACGGAGTACTGTACTTGCTCTCAGACACAAACACAATCAATCATCCTCCTTTTTCCGTCCTCAACTCCCCATCCCCGCATCACTTTTTCTTTTTTTTTTTCTCTCTTTTTTTTGACTTTTGCACTGCCTCGATTATCTCTCGGCTTCCTTCTCCCCACTCTTGGTTCCAGCAACCGGGATGACCTCAAGCCTCTGAAGCCTAGAAAACAATAGTCCCACATGCCAAGTCCCGTGGTTATCGAGGTCTGCGACCTGAAGATATTGGATTCATCTCCCTGGACAGTTATTTATGGTGCTTACAGCAGCACATATCTCCGCCTCCATGGGGTAGGTCGCACGGAATGCTGGCATCTGACTCTTTTTCCCCGATTCGTCCCAGATTGCTGGGCCACGGCACACCGCTAATCGAGTCTCTGCCGTCCGGTCTTACCATTCGATCGGGAGAGATACACGCTGAATTCGATGGACATCTCGGGGTCCATGTGGTGGAACATACCGTCTATTAATTTGCACTCATCTTTCCCCTTTGTACTATCGCTCTGTCCGTGGGCGACACTGCGGGAATCCAGACTGCTTTCTATGTCCATTTTCACAGAGGCCCAGCAAACCACTAGATGCCTATCACTACCGATGATACAAGCTCCGTTTACACGGCTTGATCTACAACGCGTGCTTTTCAATACAGCTGACTACCATCATAGACTAGCTCATCTGTTCTCAAGCCCTGGCTTCATGTCTTCTCGACTTACCAACTCACTAGACAATCGTTCCAGTGTTGCACATGGCAAACGCGAGATCAGCTACACAGATCGGTCCAGCTCCAAGCCGTTTGCGTGACAGGCCTTCGTGACATTGACCCTTGATGACCAATCATGGAGTCAGGTTGAAGGTGAGCGTCCATAAAAAGTCTTATACATGCAGTTCGGCTTCCGTTCGTTTCGATAAAGCTACAGCATTCAACGTGTGAAGTACTCTGCCAGAAGTCATACTCGATTGGTAATTCTTTGCAAGTCGAGAATAACGCTCGACTGCCTCGGTCTCGCGAACCGGCGGACATCGAATTTGTGCTATGAAGTACATCTCTGCTCTGGGTATTCTGTAGCCTCTAGGAAAGTACCTGTAATGTACTTCATGCTAGCTGAGTGCCAGCAGGATCCTAGTGTTCAAAGTACCAAGTACCAATTCCTGGTACGTGGCCCTGGGCTTGGCTTCTAGCTCATGACGCGTCAAGTTCAGTCCGGGGTGCTGTACAACTCAAGGGAAGGGTAAAGGCTACCCTTCACTACGCGAACTTTCAGTCTTCGGGAACTGATACTTAAGGTGCATGTGGAATGGAATCCAACCCCTGCCCCTGTGGAGGTGTGAGATCGTGTCACCAAATGTGGATCGGTGCAGCAGAACCGTCCTGTCCAGATTGGCGACTTACTGTAAGAGGCCATGCCGGCCATCGGGAACTGGCCTTGGCATGAACGGTGTTGGATGGGAGAGCCATATGCGCATGCGTGTTCTGCAGGGCCCGCCCCGATTTCGACTAGTTCGCATACAGCTCGGGGGCTCTTGGATTATACAAGCTGTGTCAAGGTTGGCGTTCCAAGAAGATTTGAGCGTGCGATGTACTCATGTATGTATGTACCTGGGCAATGTTTGTGGGCTTGCCTACTACCTACTGCTCAGGCATGCGCCAACACAGATGAGAAATGCCACGGGACTTTTTCCTATCAGCCTCAGTTCTTTCAAGAGAGCTCCTGCATCAGATCAGACTCAAAGTACTAGGTGGTATCCCAGAGCCACCACCCATCTACAACCTTTAGATACTACCTCAAAAACTACACGCCCTCAGATTGAGTGCTGGTGTGAGCGGGGTGGTTTTTGTTTTAGATGCCTCTTCGAACACGCCATGGGCGATCTTCGTGCCTGTGCCATTCTTTCCGCTCATGCATCTTGTAGCGTGATGACCGCGTGATCCACATATCCTCAGTGTCGCCACTGCCACTTATTTTCCCCCTTCTGGCTCTGTGGTCCCTATGCCTATCGAGTTCCAGGTATAACTTGGTCTACTAGGGCTCGTTAGAACTGCTGACGCAACGAGAATCTCACTGAACTTACGAACTCATAGATAATCTTTCTGATCAAGGAATCAATTGTAGCTGTCGTACATGGCTTTGCCTACACAAGTTCGCAGGTCGATTGAGCCTGTAATACCGCGCTGTGCATGGAAAATCAACCCAAGCGTGGTTGCTGTATACATGGGTGAGACAATCTCATATGCTCACGTGCAGCTCCTAGATCGAGAAAACCACAGCAGCCATTATGGTCGCCTGCCCTATCTACATTGAACTGGACTGGATCCCAGCTAACCTCCTCTCTCCTCTACGAGACCGTAGTATTGACATACCAATCCCAAAAAATCTTCTCCTGTCTAAGTTACCATCATCCGGGATTTGTTGCTGCCTGTCGATCACCGGGGATCCCCGGGGGTCTTTTTCCATGCACTCTCCCATTGCACGATCTACAAAAAGCACCGTTCGTCCTTCTCGACATCCATTAGTCAGAAGGCACCCACCAAACTATGTACGCCTCTACAAATAGAAAACGCAGTCAGTCTACGTACTCGGTCAGACCATAGTGCGCGCGTCTGTTGAAGCACTAACTAGTTCCCTTCCCCACTCACGGAGAATCTGCAAGCCTGCCATGGCATCGTCATCTCAGGTGGCTCTCAGTATATCGGACTATTTAATTCAAAGTAAGTAGTATGTGCCTTAGCGTAGCAACTGCCTTGGTTTGACCTGCTAGTTCTACTTCCATCGAGTCTCTCCCCACTATAATCTGCCTCATAGAACGGCAGTGTGGCATACAGGTAATAATTACCTCTGCGAAAGATAATGGGATGAGACCGGATATGAATTGTGGCACCAGGCTTACGAGTCAGTCTAATGGAATCAATGCAGCCTCAAAAGCAGTACTTCGAGCCTTTTGGGAGAAAATTTTCCATTTGTGTGAACAACCGTCCTGGGGATGTTGTGACCGCTCACATGCAATTCCATGTATAGTGGTCAGTTTATGCCTTAGGCAGACCGGTGATCCTCTGACCTCATCAATAAGCAGGCCGCCGCGCAGCACAGACCAACACGCCAAACCTGCTTACCTCAGATCGTACGATTTAAACCACTTCTCCAACTGCGCGAATTCCTTCGTCCTTTTGTTTTCTTTCTCTCTTGGTTCAAATCGTTGTGCTTCCGCAATGGGACCCGCGGACAATGGTCGACCCATGACTACCACTGCCCCTGACCCTCAACTCTCTACTTTGATGTTGGTAGAGCGGGCGAATGGCCACTGCGGGGCGGTAGTCTGGATGGTTCAACTCCACACGGGGCGAACCCGGGTTCAATGGTCACCTTTGGCTATGGTACCTCGATTGGCTTCTCGAACTATGATGACTCTTTCTCTATGGCATGATGCAGGCTTTAGATGTCTGCTATGAGTGCTCCATTCCAAAATATCAAGCTCAACAGTCTGAGTTCGGAGAGTACAAGTAGCTAGTCGGCGGTCGATACTTGCATGTGTTGTTGGAGATTCAGAGAACGACAAGATATGTCTGTGCGTTGTCGGTCTTTTTCACGCATTTATCTTTTCTTCGTAGGAAATGCATAAATAGGTATTTCGTGCCCTTTCTCTTGCTGCCTAACGAGACTGTTCACTGAGTAAGAAGCCAACCCCGGCGGTCGGACTCCGCCAATTCGCAGAGGACAACCACCACCACCACCACCGCGCACCCACAATCTACCCTCTGCCATCACTCCGTCCCCCTCAAGTCCAAATCCAAAAACACCGTCTCCTCCACCAAAGGCGTCTCATAATACGGTCCGACGTCCACAAACCCCGCCGCCCGATACAACCTCAACGGCCCCTCCATGGTCCGCAGCGTGTCGAGTCGCATGGCCTGATACCCCAGCTCCCTAGCCCTCTGCACCACCGCCTGCACCAACGCCTTCCCCAACCCCATCCTCCGTGCCTCAGGGGAGACATACAGCCTTTTCATCTCACAGTACTTGACTTCCGGTCTATCGTCACCAGCATCATGACTAGGCTCTATAGAATATGATCGTAGAGTAAGGGGACGGAGAGCTACGCAGCCCAGAGGAATGTTGTGCCCTTCTGTGCTGCTGCTGCTGTAGGCCAGGAGAAGGTCTCCTCCGGACGCGGCCCCGTATTTACCCGGAAGGGAGTTGAGCTCGATCTCGAAGTCCTGGAAGGTGAGGTCGATGTTCAGCCATTGGACGTAGGCGCGGAAGAGCGAGCGGATGGCGGAGAGATGCTCGGGGGTGTGGGCGGGGATGATGCGGTAGGGGAGCGGGGGGCTGGGGTTCGATGTTGAGGATATCATCGTTGTGCTTTGGGGGATAATTGATGAATGATGAACAGGTATCTGGTAGAGGATGTCTTGATTTGTCTGATCGCAATGATCTGACATGTAAACAATGGCTCATTCAGTGTTTAATTTTTTCTTCTATCCGATGTCTGGGATAGGGCGTGCGCTACGGTGACTCAAAAAATTGTTGGTATTGTCGATGCCTTAGGCTGAGATATTGTTTCTCTACTGCAGTGCGGGCCGAGCATCGAGTGAGTCTCTTCTCTTCTTCTACTCCGCGATTCTCTTCCATCTGGCTTGCCGCGACTCGACGGTTCGTACCATCTAGATCACTTTCAAAGCTACGGCACTCGACTCTGTGCGATACACAGGAGCAGCATGCGTCCCACATCATCTGGCTATCAGGGTCCGAGGTCGCCATGTGTCTCGATTGCTAGTTGACGGGCTCTATCTACAATGGCTCTTCGGCCTTATCGCTCGATACCTCTCTCACCTTCGATCAATCTATTGTCATGGCATGCTCCGACACACCAGAATATTATCGACAAGGCATGGGCGGGGAGCTCCGATGCCAAGTCAATGCCTCGTTATCGTGCTCTATACACCTCTGCAGGGATGAATAGACAGCTTTTAATTTACGCAGACATCCACTGAGATTATCTACTCCGTGCTGGGCCTGCCCGCGAGCTTCCATCAAAATTGCACATCGCAAGTGATTGGCAGCAGGTGTTGACACTGCATCACCCAACATGGCTTCTCCAAGTCCATTCGCCCAGCCTGGTCGATGAACAGATGGAGTTCTCCAAATTAAACCGGTCCTTAGAAGCTGAAGATCTTCCCTCCACAGCGAATCAGATCGCCAGCTGCCCCGACGGGAAGAGCAATGCAACCCATCCTAATGCACACTACTTTGACCAACCTTTATCGATTGTTTGGCTTCTGCTCCCATTGCTTCTCCTCCGAAGGAGTCCCGTCGTAGCTTCATCTAGTCCCCGGCTGCAGAATGACGCTGTCGCGCTCAATTGGCCATTCATCGTCCACAAACCCCCAGTCCCCCTGCGGGTCCTTACAGCATCGTCCGACTCCCGACTCAATTATCGGTCGGACCTGGCGAATCAGCAATTCCTTATCAGCACATGTTGCTATCAGCCCTCATCACGATGCAGAGAGAGAGACTCTCCACCACAGCCGAGGGTTATGCGGCATGAGCGAGGCAGGCGGGACAAATGTCCATCACCGGCGTATAAGTAGCGCCAACTCCTCTCGTTGTCGTCTGCTATAGCATCTTGTTTTATTTGTCTATTCATCCGCAGGTCGCTCAGCAGCTTTCCACACCACCCTTACTCGCTTTCAAATCCAGCACGATGCCTCAAATGTCTCTTCTGCCCGCCATGGGTGTTTTCGCCCTGAGTGCGCTCAGCTCCGGTGTCCTGGCTACCATTGACACCTGCTCCTCCGATAGCCCTCTCAGCTGTCAGACCGACAACGAGGCTTCCTGCTGCTTCGAATACCCTGGTGGCTCCCTTCTCCAGACCCAATTCTGGGACACTGACCCTGTCACCGGCCCCAGTGACTCCTGGACCATCCACGGTCTCTGGTACGCCCACTCTTTCCCCACTGCCCATTGAAAGACTTCACAGATTGGCTGACAGCAACCGAACTCCAGGCCCGACAACTGCGACGGCACCTACCAATCGAACTGCGACGCCTCGCGCGCGTACACTAACATCACGGAAATCCTCGAAGCACAGGGCCGCACCGAGCTGCTCGAGTACATGGACACTTACTGGCAGAGCGACGATGAGAGCAACGAAGAATTCTGGGAGCACGAGTGGGCCAAGCACGGTACGTACGCTTCTTAGTCCGGGTATACTTATGAGACCCCCGAGCTTTCCCTCAAAACTCAACTATAACTAACTTTTATTTCGTAGGAACCTGCATCAATACCATCGACCCCAGCTGCTACACCGACTACACCGCTCAAGAGGAGGTCGGCGACTTCTTTGACAAGACCGTCTCGCTCTTCAAGACCCTGGACTCCTACACTGTGCGTTTCTGCCCCGCATCCCCCCGGCCCATCTGGTTCGGGCAACCCACGGGAAAATCGAGGCAAGCTAACCAGTAACAAAAGGCTCTTGCCGACGCGGGCATTACCCCCAGCTCGAGCAAGACCTACAAGCTGAGCGACATCGAGGACGCCCTTGCTGCCATCCACGACGGCTACGCCCCCTACGTCTACTGCAGTAGCAAGGAACTGTCTCAGCTCTATTACTACTTCAATGTCGCGGGTAATGCGATCGATGGAACTTATGTTGCGGCCGAGAGATGTATGTTGAGGATTCTCCCTGACGAACAGCCTTTAGAACCCCCCCCCCCTTCCCAGAGAAAACTAAATGCTAATCAATGGGTTTCTATTGTTCTAGTGGAGACCAGCAACTGCCCCAGCTCGGGGATCAAGTATCTGCCCAAGTCGAGCTAAACAGCTCGCGTAGAACCAGAGGGGTGGTGTGATCCCAAGACTACATCGTGGAACAATGTTTGTTGAAGAAAAACGGAGTGAGTGGGTTAGGGGTTGTGAAAAGTTTCGTGGGTGCTTTATTGTATGTACATGCTACCACTAGTGTGTCCTAGAACCGGTTGATGGAACACAATGCCCGGAAAATCCATATGGCGAGAGTCCACATCATCTATATGAGCAAGGAAACCCGTTTAATGTTCCTAGGTAGTTTTGTCCATCTGTGATTTAGACACATGTGCGTTTTGTGTAGTCTCATTGGATGGAAAGCCGCTTGCCAGTCGGCCGCTGGTGATGGGGTGTTATGTCATGACCATAATGGGTTCCACAGCGTGCTGTGGGCGGCTGGCAACTTTCATCCAAACCTCATATGCGAAGTATGTATCCGGTCCAATCGAGTTCTCTTGCTTAATAAGCGAAGTGCATGGGGCCATGTCAATAGACTGACACGGCGTAATGGCGTAGTGGGTCTGGGAGTTTCTTCACCGCGGGCGTAGATTTATGCGCAGGCGAGATGGTTCGTCCGCCAGTCTGATCGCTTACACGCACACAGAGTGTAAGCGATCGGTGCCTGTAAAAGCAGCTAGCTAGTCGGTCTTCCGATGCCGTAGACGGGGAACCCGACAGCAATATCAACATAGGCATTAGAGTGCGTGTGTCGAACATGCTGATTCTGATTGGCCGTCCCAGAGGATACTGGAGGTTGCAATTTGTATGCAATGAGAAAGAAGAAGCGGTGCGATTATCCCTTGTTCACAGTCCCTTCAGACGCGCATTCCGCCTCTCCTCCTCGATGTTCGCACCCACACGGTCCAGGAACTCCATGCGGCCATGGAAGCCCTCCTTGGCCTTGCTGTGCACCTTGAGCTCATCCTTGAGACCCGCACTATCCACATACGCGGCCCAGTCCATCCGCGACTTCTCGACCGTGTTGATCTTCGGGCCCCGGGCGTTCTCGTCCTGCCCGGTGATTTCGGCGGCCGGCTGCTTCTCCCAGCTCTTCTTGATCGCCCCGGTCGGGTTAGGGTCGAAACGCGAGACTCGGCGCAGCGGCCTCCGTAGCTTGATCGCCACATCCTCGGTGGTGGTGGTGGCAGTTGCATCCTCCACCGCCGCCGTGATGACTGTCTCGACATTCGCATCGCCATTGTTGGCGAGGTACAGCTTCGCCTCGGCCGAGTCTTTCGGGACGATCTTCTCCTCCGTGATCATCTCCCCTGCGAACTTGTAGGTGCGCTTGATCTTGATCATCTCCTCGGCGTATTTCGATGGTTTCTGCTGCTGTTTTGATTGTTCTGTTTCGGTAGAGGATTCTTGCATCTCCACGTCGCCGTTCTGTGTCGTTGGTGCGTTGTCGTCGTTCTTCCCGCTGCTGCTGCTGCTGCTGCCCGCGTGCAGCGTATTGTTGTTCTCCGGTGCATTCATCATCGCCCAGAGCGCATCAACGTCCACGGTCGCACCGTCGATCTTGGCGAGGGTTTTGCGTTCGTCTTGCCTAGACGCATGCCAACATATAAATTAGCACAAACCTATGACCAGCAGTCTCTGAGATGTAAAGAAAGACTAAAATCATACGCGCGCATCTTCATAGCCCGGGTACGGACAAAGCCCCCGGTGCCTCCCTCTTCCTCCTCATCGTCTTCAGTCTTCCGCTTCGCCTTGTCTTTGTGGATCGTAGCCTCGTCGCCGGAATCTAACTCCCCAGTTGCAGTGGGACCCTGGGTGGTTGTGGTCGTCTTCCGCCGCTTCGCCTGGGGTTGGCCGTCTGCTGCTGCTGCTGCTGCTGCTGCGTCATTGTCCTCCTCGTCCGACGAGGTCAGACCGGCATCGTCGTCGTTCTGGGCGGCGAAATCGTCGTCGAGTTGGAAGTCCGAGTCCGAGTCGGAGTTGTACTCATCTTCGTCGATAATTAAATCCGCTGCTGCCGCGGTGGGCTCTGCGTCGGGCGCCATGATGAGGTTACGCCGTAGATCGAGTCAGTAAATGCGTGTGGGATAAAATCCGTTCATAAGCTTCAGCGCGGAGAAGGAGACGGGAAGCTGGAGCATGAAAAGGTGTAGTTCTGCCGGGCGGTGAGCGATGACACGGAGGTGGATGATTATGTAAGTATATCAGCCAATCATATTCAAGGTCGGGGAGCCGAGGCTACTTCGTCCCTTATCGTGATAAGCCTTTAGATTGAGTCTCCATCATGAACATGAGTGCTACGACTTCAAACTGTGGGGATTATGTTTTTCTGTATGTGGCTGAGCATGACTCTTTGAGTTTTCCAAGGAGCTCTCTTTGGCTTATTCAATCATATCCAAGTCTCAACCCCGAACCCTGCATGCCACCGAATCACAGGACTCGGCCATGACGAACGACGACTAATCATAATCTCTCAGCCGAGGATGACATTGACTTGACATGGATCGACAGACCTACTAGGTAGCATATAAGGAACCTTGATGTCGATGATCCATCATCTTAGAATCGCCAAGCTACTCGTATACAATTACATCCCGAAAGACCAAGCAATGGCATCCCCCAACAAGCCCGTCGCCCTGATCATAGGCGCTTCGCGAGGCATAGGCCGACAAATCGCCATCGACCTCGCGAAGAACAACTACACCGGTAAGTTACAGTTACACTCAAGAATCTCCAGGCCATCACCTTCCAACCTCAACTAACCGGGCCACAAACATCAGTAATCATCGCCGCCAAATCCACCTCCACCACCACCACCAATCCAGAACAATTCCCCCCAGACCCCAACTCCCCCGCCTCAACCATCACAACCGTCGCCCAGGAGATCAACCTCCTCACCCCCAACACCGCCTACCCGATCCCCGTCGACGTGCGCTTTCCGGCCCAGATCGACGATTTAGTTGCACAAACCCTCCGGATAACCGGCGGCCGGCTGGACGTGGTGGTGTACAACTCGGGCGCGATCTGGTGGTCGTCCGTGCGGAACACCCCCATCAAGCGGTTCCGGCTGATGCAGCAGGTCAACCCGGAGGGGCTGTATGCGACCGTGCAGGCGGTGCTGCCGGTGTTCGAGCGGAATGGCAACCGCGGCCGCATCGTGGTGGTCTCGCCGCCGGTGTATTCGCGGTTCTTTAGGGGGAAGACCGGGTATGCGATTGGTATGGTTTTCTTTCTTACTCTCGGGGCGGGGGGCGGGGGGGCTTGAGGTGGGATTACATAACTAATTTTGAACAGGGAAGGTTGGGATGAGTGTGTTGACGCGCGGGTTGGCGATGGATTTTGTGAGGGAGGGGAAGACGGAGATGGCCATTACGAGTATTTGGCCTGCTGCGGTATGGTTTTCCAGTTTTCTCGAGGCAAATGATAAAATTTGTAGGGGTGATGACGCTGATGCTGATATTCGGAATCCAGGCTGTTCAATCGGCTGCTACGGAGATGAATTCCGCGGGGAACGATGAATCACGCTCGAAAGCCGATCTTAGGAAACCAGTGAGATATCCAGGTCCTCCTCTTGCCATAGATGGGGTTTTGGCATTCGAGGTTGTGTGGTATGCTGACGAACCATCACCAGACTATCTTCTCCGATGCGATCCTCGGGATCTTGAAGGCTCCACCTCATATCGTCAATGGTATGCTCGCGCTGGACGAGGACTTCCTGCGCGATCACTGCGGTGTCACGGACTTCTCCAAATATTCCGTCGTGCCGGGCACCAATCCCCGGCGGATGATGCCGAAGAAGTTGCCGGTGCTGGAGGTGGAGGAGCAGGATGACGAGGGGATGAGGATGGATAGTGCGAAGAGCAGGAGCACTGCGTCTAAACTATGATCGTTTGCTTATAGCAGACTGGTTCGTTTGATACTCTCGCTCAAATGTGTGGGCTTGAGATTTGCAGTATCAATGGATCTTTGAAGCCGATATTGGCTTACCAGCTGAGAGAACAGGAGAATGGAGTTTGGAAGACTACATCAGAGATATAAAGTGTTAATGTCGGACTAGCACATACATACCTACATCCAACGAGCATTTACTATATCCCACCCGGCCCCAAAGCCATGAAGCTATACATTCACCCCTAAAAAACCCGTACTTGAGGTAACCCCATTCATCATCCATCATCAGCATCAATCGTCGCTCAATTACTAACATCCAAGAAAACCCGAACACCCACCCCGCTCAAGTCCCCGGATACCGATCAACCTTGGTATCCACCATCCCCACCATCTCCAACGAAGGCTTCTCCGTCACCCGCTGCCGCGACACATTCCGCTCCAGCCACAGTCCCGCCGTCGCGACGACGCCCATCACGATCTCCAGCCCGATCAACACCCCCAGCAACACAAACGAGGCATGCGTCACCGCGCAGTCCCTGGCGAAATGCGCAGGGACGTTACTGCTACTACTACTACTGGCAGAAGACGCCATCCACTTGCAAGTCCAAGAATGGAGGGTCTCGGTATCGTGGAACCCGTTGCGGCCACTCGCGCCGGGGCGGTAGATCACGAACACGAACCCCACGAGAGCCGTGATGAAGCCCCAGAGGGCCGTGACTGCGGCGAGGAGGTTTAGTCGGCGGATGTGGGAGTGGGGCTGGATGTTTTTGATTTGTTAGCAGGTACTATGTCTGATAGTTGTGGTAGGGATAGGACAGTGTACTGACCGATGGAAGAAGGGCAGCGATGATGTAGATGAGGGTCTGGAACGCAATCACACTGCCACAGGCGAGCAGGGCCTTGGCCGGGCGCAGGTCGAGGTTCAGCGGCCACAGGTAGAGCCAGACTTGGCTGTAGCGCGAGGTCTGGCGGTAGTGGTGCAGGGCCACGGCCTCGCAGGCGATGGTGGGGATCGCCACGCAGAAGATGAGGATCGCCAGCCCCAGGCGGACGAGGCGGAGGAAGCGAGTGCGAGTGAGGAACTTGGACTCCGCCTCGAGGGAGGCGTGCGACGTCGAGGTGAAGGAGGCGGCCACGGTGGAGGATGCCGAGTCCATGGCTTCGGTTTGAAAAAGATTGGAGGGGAGATTTGAGGGTGTCAGAGACAAGAAGCGAGAGAAGGCACAGCTCTTTCTGTGAGCGTCAAATGTCAAACAGCAAAGTAAAGTGAACGTGAATCCGTCAAGCAGAAGTCGGTCTTGCCAGCAAGCCGGTCAGGCTCATCACCGAAGAAAAGAAAATGGAAAAGAAGGAGATGATTTCTTTGGGAAGCAAGAACAGAATTCAGATGCCTGAGGGCAGTGGGTATTTATTCCCCTGTTGCGACGCGAGAAAGCCTCTGTTTGTGCCTGCAACTGAGCGTTCCTTGGTTGCCAAAAATAATGCAGCGGACCCTGAATGCCCACCCTTTGCGGGCTGCAGGAGCGGCCATCGAAGGCTGTTAGCCGCCCGGCAGGATTCTAAGCAGTTCATTTGCTCGTCGCTGCCCTCTTTTCCCTTGAAGAATCGTTCTTCAAACAAGCACCATGCAGTCCTGTCCTTCCCGGGCGCTTAGGAGCGGTCGGTGCAACCTCACGACCACGAATCGGGGGCGCGAATTGCGGGAAAAGGCGTGCTTGGTATACACCACCCTTCTTTCTATCCGTTGCTCGTGGCGGACAGAGGATGATGATTTGTTTTGGGTCCTCGAGGACTGTGCTTGTGAATGATCAAGCTGATATCCTCCATGTTTGGTTGATATATGGAGAGTAGAAGGGTGAGCTCCCGGTTGTCTGCAGGTTAATGTAAGCTTGTTGTCCGACCGCGGTCTCCACAGAAGCAGAAGCACTCACCGTGTCAAGCGCCCACGACTATCATAACGAGTTACATGGCGGATGGGAATGTAGAAAGTGAGGGTTGGAAACTGCCGACGGTTGAATAGTCGAGGAACATCTAGCCTTGGTGTGTCATTTCAACGAGCCGGAACATGTACGGAGTACATGTCATACACGTGATAGCCTAGATAGGCAGAACCTCCTTCTTGGCTCATTGGGTTGGAAAGGAAGACTATGCCAGGTGATCTGAGGTAGGTACTAGGTAGGCAAGGTTCCATCATCTTTTCTGTTTGATAGCATGTCACCATCTACAACTACAACAACCACAACAACTCGTCGTCTGCTTCGGGGTGAGATTACCTACTCTGCAGCCAAAGAACTTGAAACCAATATACTGCACTCGTTGAGCTATTGGGATCAGCAGACTAGTTAATACGGAGACTTGCGCCGAAAGAGCCATTTTCTTGAAACTGTGGTCGCACACCATCTCAATTTGGTTCCGACGAGCTGCCGCATCGCCGAACCAAGCGAATGGCTTTCTGGGTCGTTCAATGTTTGCATCCCAATCTATGTTGAAGACAATCGGCGGCGCCCCAGCTTTCTACTTCGTTTTCCGCTGCCACACAGGGTTGGAGAGAACGTCAACCCAGGGAACGCTGATGAGAAAATTCTATGTGAAGTTGGTACTTACACCTGGCTCCAGCATGATTGCCCAGAAGTCCCCATTCCGCAACTACATGGATACGGGTTATCAACGGGCCAGAAGGTAGGTGCACCTCTTCTCATCGGGGTGGCTTCTGCTAAGGATTAGTTTACTGCTCTCGAAAATCTGCCTTTCTCGACTCGTTCAGTCGAAGTCCTCCGCCGTCATATTTTAAGATTTCTAGGATTCCCAGTCCCATCTAAATATGTGGCTCACAGCAACAAATCGAGAGACCTCTTAGGGGTCGGATATCTCTTAATTGACTACATTGATATGTCAAGGGGTAGGATGCTGTCTGCGTCGTGGGATCAAGGACGGCATAATCCTAGGTTGCGGATGAACCTCTTCCGCAGCTTGTCTGATATCATGTTGGCCATGACACGTACTCCTCTACCCGGAATTGGTTCTTTCATCGTGGATGAAAAGGGCTATCTAAGGCTCAGGAACAGACCTCTTACTCTTGAGATTCAGGACCTGGAGAATCAGCACGTTCCGGTCGATATCCCGCGCGAATTTACACATAACACCGTTGACTCCTATGTCAGTGACATTCTTGCCTTTCATGAGAGTCGCCTCCATCATCAACTGAATGCAGTCAATGACTTTCAAGACGCCTTGTTCCAGATGGCTGGTCTCACCGTGATGAGAGCTGTTCGAAACTTATTCTTCCGTCCCGATCTCCGCCGAGGCCCGTTTTATATGAGCTTGACGGATCTCCATCAAAGCAATATCTTTGTCGATGATGACTGGAATATCACAAACCTAGTTGATCTTGAATGGGCTTGTTCTCGTCCAGCAGAAATGATCCATCCGCCGTATTGGTTGTCCAACCAATCTGTCGATGGGATTGATTCTGACGCATACGAGAGCCTGCACAGCGAATTCATGCAGGCTTTTGCGGAGCAAATATCGAAGCGCTCCTGGCAAGATGGAGACCAGTCTTATTCTATACTCCAAGAAGGCTGGACCAAAGGCACATTCTGGTATGCTCTTGCACTCGATAGCCCCACTGGGCTTTTTCGGATCTTTTACGACCATATTCAGCCACGATTCTCGAAGGATCATATAAATGATGCAGCATTTTTCAAGATTACTATAAAATACTGGGCATTCAATGCAACTAGGTTCATTCAGAAAAGGGTGAAAGATAAAGAGGAATACGATCGGCTTTTACTCGAAGCTTTTGAACAGGCTTCACCGAACCCGACACCTACGCATAAGTGAAAGCGGTTATCTTTCCCCTCTACTGGTCGCTTGAAAGGACGGCTAGCCAGGCATTAATGTCATTGTAAGATGCCCTGAGAAACTATCGAACAATTAAGATGAGCAAAACAAGAGGCAAATGTGTAGAGAGGTACTGAGCTGCTACACCTTTGAAGTGATCTATTCTGCGAAGTCGCATCTAAGCGGGCATTATTGGTCTGTGAACAAACGACGTCGATCAATTGCTCTCCAGCGAAGATCCCTGTTCAATGATCTAGTGGGTTAGCACAAGACATCTCCTAGTAAGTAGTACGCTGACTCGTAGTACTTAGGTACTTACAAATACAAAGTGCTTGGATGATAGCAATTACGCAGGGAATTCGGCCTTGAGGAAATCAGCTTCCCACTCTTAACATCGGCATCACATATTGACTCATAGTCATTGCACAGCATTTAGGGTCATCACTCATCAGCACTTCCCAAGAGGCATACTAGCCTGATTGACGTAATCACAGCTGCACTGGGAGGAAAGGGGATATCGGCGGCTGCTCGTAGCCACTGTGTTATCCGTGAGTTCGCCTTCTGAAGAGGGAAGCTATACAGGTGAAGCACCAACTAAAGCTACCCACTGCTCCTGCTCACTACCTCACCACCCCACTCACCACTCATCACTTCTCGTCTCTCACCAAGCGACAATAGCTCGGTATCTCGTTAGAGGCTTTAAGCATATTCCTATTGCCACTGTCACCACAACACCCTAAGTAACCCCGCAACATCGTTCCAGCAGCTATCCCGATGACTGCAAGAGACTAATTGATTTTTTGCCCCCCCCCCTCATCTGTCCCGTCTGTGTTGATGTCCAGACATGTTGACTTGACAGCGTTCATTTCTCCGTCGCTCCGGACAATTCTCCATACGTACCGGGCATTCCTGTCCAATGCCTCCTCGTCCTCTAAAGTATCATACGCGTCTGTCCTAGGGTTACTGACTTGTCTAGACCTGACCCCTGTCCTAAGGCTTGGCTACCACGCGTCCGGGAGCCCGTCTGATGGCAGCGTCATTTTTTCGCACGCAAGCGATCAAACATGTGCAGAGCTCAATGCTTACGTCCCACAAGATATTCCGCACTTGCATACTCATCCCCGCTTTCGCGTAGTCCTGAAAGTCGTCGGTTTCAGACCGAGGAGGCGCTCTTTGGTGCAATCAATTGGCCGAATTTGGTCCCGTGCCTCCCTAATACCGTGCCAAATCTCCCCAAAAATCCGCCACCCGAGTCCTTTGAGTGGATTCGTGGGAATGTTGATGTTATATGCTTGGCAAAATATATGATCGGCACCGCCGTCCATCAACCTCAAGGGCCGAGATCCCGTACTTGATCGAAGCGGGATTTGTCCCCATTAGGATACCATAACAGGTGCCGCATTTCACAGGTGCGCTACTCACAGGCCCGAACGCAAAGAGCAGGTCCGGCTTTCACTACTATGAAAGCCGTCACGGACGTTGATGTATCGTCACTTTGAGGGCTAATGACCATGTCTCAAAACCCAGGGCTGTCATTGCGCAGCACAACCTCAGCAGCACACCAGCCGATGCCTAGGAATAGGCCAGTCCTCAGCCACCCTGCCCAGGCGGCGGATGATTCTCCGTGTGTCTGCCTAGTCCTGGGCTACTGCCACCGTCTCCAATAACTCCAGGGTTGAGGGCATACAACAGCTGTGTTTGATGGACGGCGGATAAAGATGGAGCCGGGACCCCATCTAGAGTGCAGATCTTCACACTCGTCAGACGAGAGACAGCCAATCACACCCTGATCAAAACTAATAACACGCGTCGCCCGGGCAAGTGATATCGCTAGAATGTTTCTTGGTGGTTCTTGGCAGGTGAGCTTCATTGCAGGGTCCCCACGGCCTTATGTCTTGGCATGTGGGAGGGACTCGTCATCAGTCATTGCGTCCAGTATATTGCATCAAATCTAGTGACTTCCTCGGAGATGTCACCAATCAACTCCAGAAAAAGCAGCAGGGGTACATACGCCTTCATCCCGCCGGCTGTCTTCTGTTCGAGACTTTTGCAGCCTCTCGGTATAGTGTCGCTTTGATCAAGGAATTGGTTCCGCACAGCGATTGCGATGTAGCTAGACGGTGTGATGAAGCTGGACTGCAGCAAGCTCTTGCTTCAAACCTCAATATGGGGGTAAAACCTATATAAGAGGTGTGCAAGCCGATGCAGAAGACGAACTGTCAAGCAGCAACTGTCACTCCATCAGTGGCAAACTCCTCCTCCTCGTCTTTCAGGCATATTCCCTTCGTCTCTGGCCATTCTTTTCAATATTTCAAGATGCATTTCAAGAACGTTGCCAACTTGGCCATTGTTGGAGGTGCGGTCCTGGCTACCGCCCATCCTGGCCACGAAGAGAAGCGTGCTGCTTCCGAGCTTCTGGAATTCAAGGCCAACATGCGTCGAGGGCTCGAGAAGTGCGCCGCTCGATTCGAGAGCAGCGGATTGAACGCCCGTGCAGAGGTTCGCCGTAGGGCCCTGGTTGACTCGCACCGCAAGCGTCTCGCTGCACGGGATACCTCCTCGGTTCTCGCCACCAACCACAATGAGACCGGCAATGGCATCACTGCCGACTCCTCCGAGAGCGAAATCTTTGGCAGTAGCAGCAGCTGCGTTCTCAACCCCGAGGGCGAGACGGGCCCTTACTACGTTCCAGGCGAATACGTCCGCGCGGACCTTCGCGAGAGCCAGCCTGGTGTGCCTGTGACCATCGAGGGCCAGTTTGTCGACGTCGAGACCTGTGAGCCCATCACCGACCTGTACTGGGACATCTGGAACTGCAACGCCACAGGCGTCTACTCCGGCCTGGTCGCCACTGGCAACGGAAACACTGCCGACACCTCCAACCTCAACGCGACCTTCCTGCGGGGTATCCAGAAGACCGACTCTGACGGCGTCGTCACCTTCAACACCCTCTTCCCGGGTCACTACTCCGGCCGCACCACCCACCACCACATGGTGGCTCACCTGGATGTGACAGTGCAGGAAAACAACACGATTACCGGGGGCACTGTCGCTCATATCGGGCAGATCTTCTGGGATCAGGACCTAATCAACGCGGTTGAGGCCACGTCCCCGTACAACGAGAACACGGTCACCCTCACCACCAACGCGGAGGATCGCGTCTTTTCCGACGAGACGGAGAACTCCACCTCGGACCCGGTGTTGAACTATGTCTATATTGGCGACGACTTGAGCGATGGGCTTTTCGGATGGATCACCATCGCCGTCAACGTCTCCGCCACCTATGACCCCAACTACAGCTTCATCTACACCTCCAGCGGTGGCGAAGCTGTTGACGACAGCTCATCCTCGACTGGAGGAAGCTCGCCCGGTGGTGGCCAGTCCAGCGGCTCCGGTGGACCAGGTGGGAGCGGCCAGTCCAGCGGTGGCCAGCCTGGTGGCTTTTGAAGCTCAGGCCTTTGGCTTAACCCTTGATCTCGCAAGCAAGAGGAGATGAAAACGATCGTGTCCGTAATTCGTTGCTGTGTGCTTTGCTTTTCTGTTCTTGTCAAACAACAATCGCTCCAGCTTGATTTGCTCGTTCTGAATCTGTCGATCTGTGCTAGTTAGTTGTTACTCTTGACGTTCCATTCGTTCACTTTCAATTAAAATTGAAGTACTCCGTTCAAGTGCCTAGTCAATTTGACTCCTAGACTTGATTCATCTACCCTTGGTACAAGATAGCTACTACAAAGTACTAAGGTAAGCATTCCGCAACCCGCCGTAGGTATACTGCCATCGCCCCGAAACCGGAGCACCTCCCGCTGACATCATCACCACCACCACGACCACCCCTTATCACCCAACCAATCAAACCCCAGGCGGTCACTCACCCCACACCGCGGCGCGCGCGCGGATAAATTTTGGCGGGGAAAAATAAGGCGGGAGACTTTGCAAAGCAAATTGAAGGCACTTTTTTTTCTCCCCTTTTTGCTGTGCATTGCATTGCAAGTTTCAATCTTACAATTCCCGGGGACCTGTTCATGCTTCGCCCTCGCATCTTCAATCCTCGATTGATTGGATCTTTTTCTTCCGGCATCTGCGTCACCAAACGATACCAGTCCGCCATGCCCCTCTCCAAGCTGCAGGGCGTTAAGCTCCCCGCTTCGGCGGATTTCCATGGTGCGTTTCTATTTCTTTGCTTTGCTTTGCTTTGCTTTGCTTTGCTTTGCTTTGCTTTGCTTTGCTTTGCTTTGCTTTGCTTTGCTTTGCTTTGCTTTGCTTTGCTTTGCTTTGCTTTGCTTTGCTTTGAATGCCCCGCATGCTGGTTTGTGTATGCTTTGGGATACAGCGTGGAAAGTGTTAATTGGATGTGGAGTGGGATGTTTAGAGTGTCTAGGCTAATGTGTTAGGACGAGGGGGGGGATACAGTCCACCTGCGCGATGGGGATATGATGAAGCTGGTGACGCCTACTATTCGTCAGGGAGGTGTGAATACTGTTTTTGTTATGGTAACTTTTTCCCCCATTTCCCCATATCCCTTTCCCTTAATTGTGCATAGAATCGTAGGTTCGACAAAGGGTTTTATCACATGAGACATTATCATTCAGCCTAGTCTTCCTGCTCATCTGTTGCCTCCAGCCGAATCTAGTCCCCCCCGTCACAACCGTCGACCGCGCCCTCGAGTACAAGAAGAGTCTGGAAGCGATTGAGCCCAACGTCAACTACCTGATGAGCCTGTATCTGCACGAGACGGTGACGCCCGAGACGATCATCGAGGCCAAGCAGCGTGGCATCACGGGCGTCAAGAGCTACCCGGCGGGCGTGACGACCAACTCCTCCTCCGGCGTGGTCGACTACACCCAGTTCTACCCGGTGTTCGAGGAGATGGAGCGCCAGGATATGGTGCTCAACCTGCACGGCGAGGTGCCCTCCAAGGGGGACGTGACGGTCCTCACCGCCGAAGAGCGGTTCCTCCCAACCCTGCTGCAGCTGCATGAGCGCTTCCCCAAGCTGCGCATCATCCTGGAGCACTGCACCACCGCCGCGGCGGTGGAGGCCGTGAAGAAGTGTGGGCCGACGGTGGCGGGAACAAGTGAGGATTGAGACCCCATCCCTTCACCCCTTTGTTGAAGAGAATGTCGGGCTGACTGTTGGCCGACCAAAAAAATAGTTACGGCCCACCACTTGTCTATCATCATCGACTCCTGGGCTGGAGATCCGTTCTGCTTCTGCAAGCCCGTCGCCAAGACCCCCGCGGACCGGGACGCGCTGCTAAGAGCGGCTGCATCCGGCAACTCCAAGTTCTTCTTCGGCTCCGATAGCGCCCCTCACCCCGCCGTGTCCAAGAGAGGCGGCGACAAGATCGCGGCCGGTGTCTTCACCCAGCCCTTCACCACCCAGCTTGTGATCGATGCGTTCGAGCAGGCCTGCCAGAACGGCGTCCTCAAGGAGGAGGACATCACGCCCGAGATCCTCGAGGGCTTCATGAGCAAGTATGGCCGCCAGTTCTATGGTATCGGCGAGGAGCAGAAGGAGTTCATTGTCATCGAGAAGAAGGATGAGAAGATTCCGAACATCCTGCAGTCGGACAGGGTGGATGTTGTGCCTTTCCGGAGGGATCAGCAGACGTGGAGCGTCACCTGGTCGTCATAGTTCTTCCTCGCCATCAGTTGCGCAAGTTTTTAAGTAACTTCCCCCCGAATAAAAGTGCATCACTGGGAAGACTTGCTGCTTTGTTTGTGTTCGTCTCCACTAGGCGGATTTGTGTTGACCCTCCGCAAGTAGCCCCATGACAGACTCCAGCGCCTGCGCTTCTGCAATGTCGACTCTGCGGCCCGTAAGCACCGGGTTGACTTCATTCCCGGCAGCCAGTTGCCCGGAGCGCTCCAGGTGCAGCCTGACTCTGCTCTCAATGTATTCGCGTCGCGCATCCGCCTTGGAATCGACCTCCATCTTATCCTCCGACTGTTGCAGCGTAGCCAGCTTGGGCCGGAGCTCTTTGATCAGCGCCTGCAGCGCGGGCAGCTGCGACAGGATAAACGTAGTGTTTGTGGTGATGGGCGTGTGCTGTTTATTAGACCCGGCCACCGCCCCGACGCGCAACTGGCGCGCCGCAGCGCTCGACGTCAGGAACGACAAGTTCAAATCTCTAGTCGTGTTTGCCGTAGTTGATGGCACTGCCGCCTCGTCACCCGCTTTCGTAGTGTCCGGTTTCGGTCCCTTAGTCGACAAGATCTGCCGTAACTGCGCAATGATCGCGTCGTTCTGGGCGCTCTCCTGCTTCAGCGCCCGATTCAACTTCTTGGTCTCGAGGAGCCTCTTTCGCTGCGCGGCGATCGTATCCGGCGTGGGCGCATCTTCCGGGGGATGCAGGTCGAGATTCTATTTTTTTGACTGCGCGTCAGCAAAACAGGGCGAAAGGTTTCGTCACAGTCGAATCGTTTACCTCATAATGCTTCAACCGGATCCAACCCATAAGGTCCTCGGGAACCTTGAACGTGTTCCGCAGGACAAACAGCTCGAATTTATCGAACGTCTTGTCGACGGTCGCCTCTAGGAGCGTCTCCAACTGGTGCAAGCCATTCTCGATCTCCAGTTGCGCTTCCGGGTAGATCACGTTGCCATCCTCGTCGGTGTCCGGGATCGTGGACTCGTTGGCGGCGTGCGCGAACCCGAGGCGTTCGGGCGGGGTGTTGAGAAGACCGGTTTCGAGGCTCGAGATGGCTTGGTAGATGAGATTGTTGATTGAGTTGATGATGTCGTCGATGAGGGACTATAAATTTCGTGGGGTGGTGAGGTCAGTCATGGTTTTAAATCCGGTTGGGCATGGGTGTTGGTGAAGTCGAGGCGCCCGCGCGCGCGTGTGTATGGGGTTTTTTTGGTGGGGGGTGAAAGGGATTCTGCTTACTAGAGGCGTGTAGCTGAAATGCTCGGTGAGCAAGGAGGTGGTGGCGTCTGTCATGGCTGGCAGGTAGTCGCACTATCTGCTGCTAGGGTGGAGGAAAGAGAGAAATTGATGATGCGGTTGTGTCTTGCTTTCTTGCCGGTCGACGCGTCAGGCGCGGCGCGCGCAAAGATGCGGAGGTGCGGGTGGAGCAACAGCGGGCACAACTATAACGACTGTACCTCTTACCTGCGCGAGAAGGCTTAATCCAGGGCTCTACTACGTTGAGATTTGGTCAGAGGTAGTCTCAGAAATGATACTGAGGACAACCCTGTCATCCGCAAATTTTGAAGTTGAGTTAAATGGTATTTACCCACCTTTTTCTTCTCAATCGCTCTAAGGGCTAACGTCGTCGGACAGCCGGGGGCTCCATCTCCCTATCGGGGATCAACATCTTCAATCTCAATCAATAGAGCTGGATATCAGGTCGCTCATGTCAACCAGGCCCTTTCTATCCTTCACAGGGCTCCCAGTGTCAAGTTTTCTGACCCCTTCGCCACGACTGAACTTCCTTTTCTCATGGCACAGTGCAGTGAGTCATGTAGCATTTACTCGTGCCGTCAGTTGCTCCGCCACCAACGGTTTGAGTCACCAGTACGAAGAACCGAGCCAGCCATTGGCTCCATGTGAAACCAAGGATCACTCATTTGAATCAGTCCCGTGAATTTGCGGCCCTAATACATGGCATATCACTAACTCCGTCCTTCACTGGTGACGGTCCGTCTCCAGCTAACGTGAGATTTGTATGCCGCCTGAAGGCTGCCTAGACAGAATATAGATCCCCATCGCCATCAACATCCCTCCTTCATTATTAAAATCCATCTTCCGCTACTGTAACCGTACCAATAAAATCATCACTCTGATTCAAACCTCTTTTGTCCTTAGAAGCTATACACATATGCCGATAATCATGGCTCTCCAAGCCCCCGAGCAAGTCTCACAAGTCCTTCCTACTATGGACACTACAAAGGAAAGAAGTTCCTCATCACGACGAAGCTCTCCAGAGAGAGTCGCAACCCTCATCCTTCAAGAGAAGCCCATTCATGCCCGCCATATCCCCACGAAACCCGCGACGGTGGAGAATCGATTACGACCTGCTGCAGGTACGTCATTTGATCCAATTCTATCATTCGATGGGCAGATTTGATACTGATGCCCCAAGTCAAAGATGTCATCAATCGCATAATATGGGACCCGGACTACGATAGTGATGATTTCGTGATTGTATATGAGGACCGATTCGAGGGACGCCTTGAAGCCAGCTTCAACACGTGGAAGCGAGAGACGACGCACGACGAGTTCATCCCCCAACATCGTATCCTCCATATCAAACGCCGGTCGGATGAAGAGATTGTTTGGGATCGAAGGAGGAGGATTGACAAGGTCTTCTGTAGTGGGAACTCGGCCTTTGACTATCTGGGCTTTCTTAGTTGAATGGAACAACTTTCGAGAGGACGTACTTTTGATGTTCGGGAGCTGGCTTGTTGGCGTACAAGAAGATATCCCAAGGTCGGCGTAGGAAGCCACCTTCCCTCTTCACGTACAGTTCATAGCTCCTTCCATACCAGGACGAGTAACCCGGGTTTATCGTAGAGTATCTGGATTGAAGTTACTCAGTCAAATTCAACCTCCCTTGTACTCTTGCGTACTGGTGCAAGGTCATCCATCAATAGTCAGACTCAAGGAAGTTTTTCGGTTAACCTGGGCTGATTATCTTACCCTGCAGCACAATGACTCCAAGACGTCGCCGATTCGAGTTCTCCTTCCGCAAGAGACATAGCGGTCCCTCTACGTCCTCTTCGAGTATCTCCCCAACAGTTCCTGTGCTCCAATCGCCCATGGCATTCCAAGCACTCGGTGCGAGGACCATCTCCGAGGCGACATTGAAGCAGAAGAATAAACTGGATAGGGCACCTGTGAGGCCGTCCATGTTTCTCGAGGAGAAGGACGACGATGAGCATGCGATGTACCCCATCAAGCCAGGTGTGCCTGCTGATGTGAAGCCTACTCATCTCGAACGCAAGAGTATTGAGGGAGAGTCTGTGTTGCGTCCCAAAAGTCAATACTTCGAGGAGATGTTCAATATCAGGGGTCTGGTGACCTCCCCGAGAACTCAGATTACTCACGAAGCTGTGACCGTCGTTGAGGTCAAGATCAATACCCGGGTAAGCATTCAACTGGTCCCTGTTGCTAGTATAGGATCAGTTGGATCTGGACTGGACACTGATGTCAATCTCAGGTCAAGGACGATGACACGCTGGCGTCGACGATCTCAACAAGGATGGCACAGATTCTTGAAAAGCCCGAGGTCTTCATTATGACCACGATTCAGCAAGGTGCTTGTGTTTACTTTGGGAACTCAAATACGCCGGCGTACCTGATGAAGGTATTCGCATTGCCGTTTCTCATAGCGCCTATAATGAATCTCCGAAGTACCATCCTGATTCAGATGGAGCTCCAGAAGATTCTAAACATAGCGCCGAACCGCGGAGTCATCTTATACATTCCGATGCCGGAAGAGAACCTTGCAACCAACGGAGTGACTGTGATGGGCCAATTGGCAAATCTGGAGCGTGGCACGGGGATTTTTCGAACTATTTCTCGGACTGTGAGCCGAAAGTTGAAATCCGGTAGCACACAGAGTGCTCCAATCTCTGTGGCGACAACATCCTCGTGGAATTTCAGTGATAAGAAGTCGCCAGCATCCATGGCCGAGGATCAGTCTCACGGAAGCGAGGCTTCTAAGGAGGGGAAGAAACTTAAGTTAAAGTCCAGGTCCAGGTCAACCACTAAGGCGAGAAGCTCTCTTTCTTCGGCAGTCCGAGGTGAGAATGCAGGTCAACCTGAGCCGGTGGATAACGGTAATGACCAGCAGTGAATCCGGTCGTTGGATTGGGTCTTTGTCTGGATTAATGTTCGAATTGATGCTGTGATTTGCTTGTGGTTCTGTCTTGGTTTGGCTGTCTTTCCTTTTTGTTTGTAGTTCTGCTGCACCGAGTGGGGTCCAATATCAAAACCGTTTCTTCCTCTCCTTTAGCTCATTCTTCCTTAGCTCTCAATAACCTTCCTTTCACTACCAGCCTTGTTCTACAAATTTCAGTTTATAATCCCACTCATTCTTGCATTCCAAGGATCCAACTACGCAGAATGGAGCCGGAATATGGCCAAGGACGTATCCTGGAGATAGAAGGCAATCTATTCGATGCCCCCGATGGAGCGGCACTGATCCGTAAGTTGTGCTCGTCGGACTAGAGTATCTGATCCTGACGAATCCTAGACGCTTGCAACTGTCAAGGCCATTGGGGCAAGGGGATTGCTAGAAAGTTCCGAGACAAAGTATGCTCTCCAGCCTGCCATCTCATTCTGGCCAAACCACTGACATGATTCCATCATCTCCAGTATCCCAATGCTTATATCGCCTACCGTACCCACTGTCTAGACTACAATACGCTCAACACAGAAGTGGTCGTCACAGGCGAGACAGGTCCGCGCCGACTCCGCTTGCCCGAAGGCACTGCGCTCATCATCCCACCCCAGCACGGCGACTACGAGCCCAGCGGCGGGCATCAGCACTGGATCATCTGCCTCTTCACGTCCTTCAACCATGGAAGAGCACTCTCGCCAGTCGACTTTCTGCTCGGAAACACCGAACTTGCGGTCGCAGATCTGAAGAAACAGCTCGATGAACTCCGTGACGAGGGGATCAATTTGGGGCGGCTCTGGTCGTGTCAGTTCAACTCGGGATTGTTCGAAGTGGATTGGGCTCATTCGAGAGATATTCTGGTGAGATCCGGGCTGGAGGTCACTGTTGTCAGACAGCCTCAGCCGTGATGGCGTGCTTCTTGGGGTGTTTCTTTGCGGCCATCGATGGGAGACGTGATACTGGGTCCTAGCTTGGTCACTTGGCTGACAGCAGGATGGAGGGTGTGGATTCGAAGGATCCTGCGTCGGCATGGAACCATACTTTGTTACGAGGATACTTAGTCGCTGCATCTGCATGTTTTTTACTGGTGGGCTGGCTGGTGTTCTTAATGGTAGTTTCTGTGAAGTTGTTCTAATTTTCTCGAACTATGTTGATATGCAATGACTTAATTCTGCAATTATTGCTTTGTTGGGAACCTCGTAGCTCGAATCAAACACCCGCTGGGTATTTAATCTTGGTAATCGCACTGAAAGCATGCTGTGAGGTCATAAAATTATTACGCAAAGCAAATGCCCCTGCGCAATTGGATGTGTATCGTAGTAAACGACCGCAAAAGGAAATGTGTATCTGGACGGCAGAATCTTGCTGGAAACGAATCAACTGAGAAATGCACTTCACGAAGACAAATTCTGAGACTCCTAATGCAACTCTGAAGAGCATGACCATTTTCAAATATCCAAAAATCAACATTTAGTAAAGCCTGCCATCATGATGGAAGTGATAGTGATCATGATTGTATCACATGACCTCGCGTTTAGTTGCGCGATGCACGTGTTTCGCGACGCCATCTCCGCATCTCAACCACCACTACCAACACGACTCACCTTGGGGAAGAATAACCCGACGAGCAAACAAAGCTCAGCCAGCGCTACTTCTACTTCTACACCGACAACAAAATGCCCCCCGAGCGACAGCCCACACAGAAACGGCGCAGACTGCCGTTCAAACCCCCAAGCCGGGCCTCTTCATCCGCACCAACAGCAGCAGCAGCAGCCGCATCAGCATCAGCATCATCATCCAAGCCCAGATCCAAAGCCACCACCACAGCATCCTCATCGTCCACCAAACCCAACCCAACACGAAAGAACACCACAACCACAGCACCCTCCTCCAAAGCCCGGCAACCCACCACCACCAAATCTAAAAACAAACCCACCCTCCCCCCACCTCCCCCCTCCGACACAGACAACGAACCCTCCGCTTCGGACGACGCAGAAGAGCAACCCCCCAACAACCCACGGCCCAAACGGCGAAGAACATCCCCCTCTCGCTCAAACTCAAACTCAACCTCCCCCGCGCCATCCGCTTCCGCTTCCGCCTCCAAATCTCCTTCCAGCAACAACAACAACAACAACAACAACAACAACAACAACGAAACGCCCGCCTCCCCCTCCCCCTCCCCGGAACCGGACTACATCCTCGCCGAGATCACGCACACCACCGACCCCGCCGAGGACATCGTCACGCGCGAGCCCGTCATCCCCGCCAAGCTGCTGACGCGGCTGCTGCACCACCACTTCCAGCACCCGAAGACCAAGATGGCCAAGGACGCCAACACGGTCGTCGCCAAGTATGTGGATGTGTTTGTGCGGGAGGCGCTGGCGCGGGCCGCGTTCGAGCGCCGCGAGGCCGTCGGCGAGGGGGCCAGTGTTGGGGATGGGTTTTTGGAGGTTTGTCAACCCTTCCCTTGTTCTTCCCATTCATTGTTGCTCTGAGAGGGGTTGGTAAGGGTGTGCGCTAATGGGTTGGGTAGGTTGAGGATCTCGAGAAGTTGGCGCCACAGCTTGTTATGGACTTTTAGGTGGGTTTTTTTCGGGTAAGGATGGAGTTTGGGGGTTGAGGTACGGTTTGTTGTTTGCGTTTACGGGTTGTAGGTTTGTGATGCGAGATACCTGATTTGTTTGATATCCTTCTGTTGTGGAAAAACTAGCGAACAGAACTCTTTATATACTCTGGTCTATCGATTGGTTCTAGACGATCTAAATAAAGCAATGTAGAAACAACAATAAGCTATGCCCGAGATGGGTATAAATGCTATGACTTTCCCCCCAGTACTCCGGAAAACAACAAGATCACGTCAATTCATTTCTCAACCGCTCACCAGGGGATCGGGCGTAGCCATGGCTGACACCGTTTTCGAGTCTCCAGAAGGAGTGGCAGATCCCTCGGCAACCGGGGTGGCTGGCGCCTCGACTGCTCCGTCCGTCGTGCCGTTGGGCTGCTGCTTCTTCTTGGTGGTCACAGATCCCTTGGCGGTAAGAGCACCAAGCTCGACGGCCTCCTCCGGCAAGGGCCGGATATGCGGTTGGCAGACCCAGAAGGGCCGGCCGTATTCCGCGATCGTCGCCTTGGACCCCGTCAGCTTCTCGTCGGGGGACCGCTCGAAGCGCTCGGGAAACTCCTCGTATTCCTGGAGGCCCTTCTTGACGGCCTTCTCGACGAGCGTCAGGACATGCTCGAACGCGGCCATGTCGCCGGGGCGCGATCTGGCCAGAGCGTCGCGGACGTCGGTGTGTACGGAGACCATGGGACGGAGGAGCTGGAAGAGGTGGCCCTGCATCACTCCCAGACTGGGGGAGGCCGCCCGCTTGCCCTTCTCGCGCTTCTGCTTCTTCTTGGGTGGGCCATCCTCTTCCTCGGCCTCCAAATCCTGCGCGAGTTCTTCCTCCACGGGGTCGGACGGTAGATACAGCGGCTTCCGCTCAGGGACCGGTTGCTCCAGGACGTACTTGTAGAGCACATTCAGATACCGACGCAGCATGGCGTCGATGCGATATCCGCCCTTCCCGTCCTGGCCGCGCCAGTAATCCCTGCCTTCACTGCCGACGGGAGGCGGCTTGCTGAAGATCGACGGATCGGACAGGTTACCCTCGGCGCTCATCACGGCATCCGCCCCGGTGGCTTCCAGACAGCGGTCCAGATCGTCGTAATTCAGATTGTTGCCGTTGGCGAAGATGACCGTCTCCGGGGGCAGGTTGTCGCGCAGGTAGCGGATGTAGCTCCAGTCCGCTACGCCCGTATTGTGGCCCTTCTGCTCCCGACGTCGGCCGTGCACGGCGATGATGCTCGCGCCGGCGGACAGGATCATCTTCGCATACTCCAGCGTCTTCTCCTTGGTCTCCTGGATGCGGAACTTGGCGGTGACCGGGATGGGGAGCTCGGTGTGCAGGCGGTTGATCAGCTTGTAGATCAGGTCCCAGTCCTCCTGGAGGAACGCTCCGTAGTGTCCGCGCTTCGCGATGCCCTGGGGACATCCGAGGTTCAAATCCACCGCGTCGCAGTACGGCGCCACATGGCGGGCCGCCTCGAGGAAGTCATCCGGGTCGTTGGCGCAGAACTGCACGAAGAGCGGTCGGTCGATGGCCGGGTTGCCGTCGAGGAAGAGGGACTCGTCGCCCTCCTTGCCGGCGGCGGCGCGGGTCGGGTGGAAGTGCTGCGCGCGCACGTTGGGCTGTTCGCGGAAGAGGCGGGCGTGGTACATGGGGGAGTAGGCGAGGATTTGCTTCTGCTCCTCTGGAGGCAAGAAAGACCTGGTGAGCATGCGCCATGCCTTGCCCGCACCAACCATGTTAGCTTTCGATTACGGCAAGATTTGCCGATGAGATGCGGCGAGGTCGGGGGAAAAAGGTGGGGTGGGGGGGGGGGGAGGGGGGGTTTGGGAGGGCTTACGAATTCAGACCGGTCTACCATGGGCGCAATGATGTACTTCGGACTGCCGATGCTCTTGTAAAAGTCCCGTCCGAGAAGCTTCGTCTTCGGTTCGGATGTGAGGGTGGTTGGCGCATTTTGGTCGGCGACGCTGTTCTGCGGCGCGGGCGCCGTCTCGGGAGTTGCCATTGTCAGCGGGGTGGGACGCAGTGTTGTGGAGAAGTTTCGCCCCAGCCAAGGGGGAAGAAATCGTAAGAGCTTTATTTTGAGGATTGAACAGTAGCAAGCTCGGAGGTATATAGTGGATCACACTTCAGTCGTAAGTGAGACGCATACAATCAAGACGAGATAGCGAGACCTGGGGAACAAGAGCGGATGGCGGGCATCTTTTTTCCACCGATAATTTATCTCGGGGCGGAACAAGGTTGATCCTCTTATCTTATCCAGCGACATGAACCAGATTGACGTATCACTTTTTAGGCGACCTGCATGATTACATCGTCAAAATAGGCTTCCTTACTTCCTTATACTTCTCGGACAATGTTGAGTAAGGTGGTCAGGAACCACCTAGCAACTGATCTCTGTTACACTTCTTGCTCTTGTGTGAATGTGTCAGTCATGCCTAAAGCAAGGCAACGATGCTAGAGCTTACATAATCCAATAACGAGGCTTTAGCGCTTTTCCGCGAGTGGGTTTATGTTTGGGGAGAAACCTTCGATATGTTTATCAAAGAAACTTCGGCAGTATCGAGCGCGAAGAGCTAAGGTAGGCAGATGGTAGTTTGCCCAGGGTCTAGGGAGTCAATTCAAGTCCCCAGATATCTGCACCCTGCTTCAAAGCTTTCAGACTCTACTAATTTACGGATTACCAACAATGGACGCCGCAGGGGCGGGTGGTAAGTTGAGGCATAAACCCCGGCAACCACTATATACTGATTGCTATAGTATCCCCTTCCATCGCATTCTCTGAGGATGGTGACTATGTGGCACAGCTGAATGGCAGAGAATTGGCGGTCCATCTCAACCCCACTTCCTCAGATTTCAAGGAAGTGCAAGTTGTGAGGCTCAAAGAGAATGCCTCGAAATCCCTCAAATTCTCCCGCTCCAAGCCTGTCCTGCCATCAAGCACACATTCCTACGGGGGGGTGAGTCTCCCGGAGAGACGCCTGCTGTGTGCCAGTGACACCCGTGTCTCCGTCTGGCGGTTGGATTCGTTGCAGCTGCACGCGGAGATCGAGAGCATCGAGCCCGGAGCCACCTACATCGACTTCGGCGGCGACGAGAATGAAATCATCTACTTCCACGCGTGGAACACTAAGATCACCATTTTTGGGCTGGACACCGGCCGCAGCCAGATCATCAAAGCGCCCAAATTCTCGACTACCAATGGTTTCGGGTACCGACCGAAAACGAGGCAGCTGGCGGTCCTCCTCAAGCCAGATGCTGCTGACCTCCTGACGATTCACGAGTTCGAGTCGTACGAGCTGATCAGCCGGGCAAATTTGCCGACGGTGGATGCTCAGGGTCTGAAGTGGAGTCCAGATGGGAGGTGGATCGCCGTGTGGGATGCTGCAAGTGCGGGCACGAGAGTCCTCATCTTCACGGCCGACGGGCAGCTTTTCCGAACGTATACGGGCCTACCAGGATCGGACACCTCTTTTGATTTGGGTGTTCGAAGTATCGAGTGGAGTCCGGTTTCAAGTGCACGCGGGGTCTCTGAGGTTCTGGCTGTCGGGAAGGTGGATGGATCTGTGGATCTTTTGAAAAGTACAACTGTAAGGCTTACCTTGTGGTCAACTACCTGGATTGGCATGCTGACCAAGCCAGTTTTCCTGCTCTACGACTCTTTCGCACGTCTTCCAGATTGAACAGAACTCGCCCAGTATCTGGAGAGAGCGACCGACTGAAGACGGAACGCTAGAGTATGCTGAGGCGTCGAGCTCTTCGGCGTTTGGTGCCAACGCGGAAGTCTCTGGCCCGCCCCGTGGTGTAATTATTATGGCGTTCAGTGCTAGTGGCGCGCTTCTCAGCACTGTCGACCAAACACGGCCAAACATTGTCTGGATCTGGGACTTGGAGTCCACGCCGGTCCTGCTGTCTGCTCTGGTCCACGAACACAACGTCAGGCAAGTGTTATGGCATCCTACCAAGTCACAATTACTCATCACCACTGCGAATCCCGGATACTCTGCCGTCCGCTACTGGTCACCCTATAGTCAGCCTCTCACAGTTCGCATACCTATCCCTCGAACTGAGACCGGCAAGTACGATGCGAGATGGATGGCGATAGATGAAGACGAGGACTCAAGGTTTTGGTTCGGTACACCGGAGGACTATGTGCTTGGCTACATTGAAGGGATTGATGAAGAGCCCCAGTTTCATGTCCTTAATACAATCCGCGGCAAGCTCGCCTCGAGCGGCTGTGGTCCGTCGGCGAGCCGCTGATTCGGATGGATGGACATTCGGACTTATGGCGTGATGATCTATGCTTTACGAAACTGTATTCGGCTTTCTGAGCGACTGAGCGATTTTTGGAAGTGGTCAAACTTGACGTGTTCTAGTATAAGCATTGTATAGTTAGTATCTAATCGTTATCATACGGAACGTCTAATTGCGCGTGGTCTGTGGGACTAGTAGTTATGACCTGGTGTTTCCAGCTTGGCTAGCAGTGCAAAATGAGCGGTGAATAAACCAGACATCTAAAACCCAGACCATCCTGCCATAATATAGAAGTGGTTGATCTACACCATCATACTGCCAAGAACAATCTAGATAGTAGATGAGGCCAGAGCCAGTCTTCCCGCAGCCAATGGCAGCGGCTCCCCTGGCTATCGCAGCTAACCGAGGGCGGCGGCCGCCCGTCCAGGGTTTAGGGTTATAGCCCACGTGACGCTGAGTCATCCCCCACTCGAATTTCGCACTTGGGCACTCAAGTTTCCGACCGTTCGCTCTGTTGTGCAGCTCTCCTCCGTCGAACAGCTACATCAGATCGTCAAAATGGTGAGTTGGACTGCGCGCCTGCGGCTTGGTATATCGAGTCGCAGAAACCTCTGCGATATTATATTCAAAGATGAAATACTAATACTTTTTTCACCAGGCTCCTACCAGAAAGAAGTGGTCCAAGGGCAAGGGTACGCTATCATCATCTCTCCCCCGTTCCTCAAGCACATCTCTCCTCTCTCGATCCGATGGAAAAGAATGGTCGCCGGTCGCCTAGATTCGACATGAAAAGGGAGAGAAAAGAAAGGCTGTCGACGACAGTGAGGGCGACGGAACGACCATGAGAAGGATGCAACATCACGCACAACGCAAACCGTCTTTTGACTCGAGCACAAGAAGACTGACTTGATTTTCCTCCGGACTATAGTTAAGGACAAGGCCCAGCACGCCGTCGTCCTTGAGAAGCAGGTCGCCGAGCGCCTCAACAAGGATGTCCAGTCCTACCGTCTGATCACTGTTGCCACCCTGGTCGACCGTCTCAAGATCAACGGCAGCTTGGCCCGCCAGTGCCTTGCTGACCTCGAGGAGAAGGGCCAGATCAAGAAGGTTGTCAGCCACTCCAAGATGACCGTCTACAGTATGTTCCACCCTCCCCGGGCTTCTTCGTTTGATATTCTTTGTGAGGGTAAATGCTGACGGCTACTTTCTTTGTTCCAGCCCGCGCCGTCACCGCCGAGTAAATGTCTTGACGCTATGAAATGAATTCCTCGCGCGTCCTGTTTTTACTTTTCAAAGTGTGTGTGTACTACGAAATGATATCAACTCTATCAAAGCGGATTTGAAGAAATGAAAATCTTTGTGTGGACGAAACAAGACATCGTGATTGGCTCTCGATGGGGAAAGTGATTTGCATAGTCGTCAGGTAATACTGACTACTTGAAAATCAATTTCGAAATCAAAAACAACCAAAAAATGATCTGTTCCAAATATCTGTTCTCTGGTCGTAGGGTGAAATGCGTTGGGTCAGGATTGAATATGCGTAGGGCTCGTATCGGCAACTACTTTAGCGACTGCACGACACGACCACCAATATTCTCGATTACACATATACAACCTAGAATGACGGCAATACTCCCTACTACATCAACTTATACGACCCAACCAAAATCACCTCTTCCCCGCAGCCTGCGCCTCAAGCACCTGCTTCCTTGTCGGCCTCTGCTGCCTCGCCGCCTTGCACAACTCCCTCGTAGCACCACCCTCCTTATTGTTGGATGCAGCCACCTCCTCCAACCCCACCACCCTCCCCACCTCGAAATACCGCTTATGATTCCGGAAGAACCCCTGCCAGTGCGCGACGGCGCGGTCGATGCGGCCCCGGGCGTAGCGGACATCCTGCTCGTGGCGCTTCTTCCGCTCCCCGGAGGGGAGGGCGGCCAGCTCGGCGGGGTCGTCGATGGGCATGAACATCTCCTCGACGCCCGTCAGGTCCGAGGTCAGGTCCTCCTGGAAGCAGCCCGTCACGAAGGCGCGGGTGGCGTCCCGGCCCACGAAGAAGTTATAGTGGCCGCCGGGTCCGTAGACGAGCGGGTTGGCGCTGACGTCGAAGATGGTGCCGTTCACGCTGAGGTACAGGGGCAGGGTCGGGTCGGTGCCGTTGTAGAGGGCCAGTTGGGCGGGGGTTAGGGTGAGGGGGCCTTGCTGTTTCTCTGCTGTCAGTATTCGGGATGATAGGGGTAGAAGGGGAAGAAGAGGTTAAGCGGGTGGGAGGGGGATACGCACCAAGAAGCGCATGAGCACGGGGAGTCGTGTAAACCATGGACGGTAGCCCCAGAGGAGGGATTCCGAGGAGGTCATGTAGTAGGACAGACCGCATGAGGCGATCACCAGCGTGGCCAGCACGCGGATGATGTCGAGGATGCTGATGCCACGGGCATTTTTGCTGCTGCTGGAGGGTTTCTTGTTGCTGCTGTTGTTGCTCTCGGCTTTGGTGGTGCTCTTATTATTGTTGGGTTTCTGGCGTTGGCGGACTTCGGACATCGTGGCTGTGGTGGTCGGTCTTCGCCGGAGGTTCTGTTTTAGGTAGGTGTACTGGATGGGAAAGGTGATTTATTGACCCGATGCCATTGAAACTCTGTCCCTGAAGAGAGAGGTCGATCATACAAGAAATCGGGTGTGGCGATAGTAGGATGTCGAAAGGGAAGAGCCACTTTTTATCTTATGATTTTATGACAGGTGGTTTCCAGTTTGGCGGGAGGTTTTCCGCACTCGCCGTTTGGGTTTGTTTCCACCCCGCCAATGGTGTGACTGGGGAAATTGCCAGTACCACTTCGTTCACTACTTACTTTTATGCCCATTAATAAGGCATTTTAAAAGGGCCAGGTTTTACTGGAAGGAATGTATCAGTCATCGCATGTCCGCAAAGAGGAACACCTGGCGTAAGCCCGCCGGCGTGCCTATTCGTATTCGGAAACATATATGAGGCCGGGTACCGGCAAAAGTGGTTCTAATCTTAATTGCCTTCAGCTTTCGACCCCCTCGGAAGGATGTTTCTGGTACATATTTGTTTCTAATTGGGCTACCAGTCGTGCCTATGCTTGAATGCCCATAGTGATCACTACCGGAGGTTCACTTGACCAAAACAACTCTACAAAAGCTGAGTCATCCCACAGAAGCTTGAAGCAGAGTAAGGTATAGACGACATAACATAGATACATACAAATCGGCTATGGTCATGATCCCGTTTCAAACACAGCCCCAATCCCAAAAATCTGCTTACACTTGCTCCTGCTCCTGCTCCTGCTCCCAGCTGCGAGAAAACACATCGTTGAGGGCTTCTTGGAAGGTCCGGCAGTTCATATCAATAAGACCCTTTTTGCTCTTGGACTCTGGATTGCGAATCACCGAAACCAGGCACAAGTATCTAGCAAATGTTAGTAACCACCACCTTATTTCTTGTCAAGGATTTGGGTAACATACTTGTTCATCTCCATCAAATGTATCATTGTTTCATCATGCAGTACCACATGGCTCTCAGCTTCTTGATTTTGCTCACCCTTGGCTTTGCGATCCGGATGGTCCCAGGAATACAGCTCGGAGATATCCACAATCACATCGATGTAATCCGAGCACATCTCGTAGCATGACATATCAACGGGACGAGTGTCGGATGCGATATAGATCTTGCTCAAGACATCGAACAGGTAAGTCTTCTCGAAGCCACAGTTGTTGGCGAGCGTGTTGATCAAGTTCTCCAGAGTTGAAAGATTGGGAATGAGCTTCTGAATGACTTTACTGAAAGCCTCAAAGACAGAATAGTCGTAGATAGAGGTTAGGTAGTAGTGAACCGGAGCATTTTCATATCCGGCATCGCTTAGCTCGTCAGAGATCAGCTGTACAATGTCTTGGAAGGTGTCTGTGCGGTACTCGTCAGAAAGTCCGTCCACTTTGTGGATGAAGACTTCGATATTGATGTTGGGATAGTACTGCTGCACGGTCAAGATGGTGCGGTTGAGACGTGCAACGGAGTCCAGGTAGTCATCCTGAGCATCAATGACCCAAACAAGTGCCCCCAGACTCCCGAAAATATTCTCGAGGTCGAAAGATGGCTCCAGATACTCGAGCTGACCTGGAAAGTCCCAGACCTGGAAATCCATGAAGGAGCTTGTGAGCGTGTCAGCGGAATCAGAGTATGCACCCAATTAGTCGCTTACTGGATCGAATCTTTTTGTATCCGAGTGGTCGACTCAAGGAAGAGCGTTTCATTAGGCGGCATCTTGTGGAACACAACGCTTGCAATGGAAGATTTGCCGCTCCTGGAGAGAATTAGGGTTCGTGGCTATGATAATCTACAGAGAACTGGCACCCACCGACGGAGACCCATTAGCATCAGACGAGGCTTAGCATCTTGCGGTTTACTTGTTGAAAGCTGGCCATTCTTGGCCTGGACCTGTTCAGGCAAGAATTGGCTAGTACCCTGCAACAGATGGTATTAGCCGGATGATTCAAGACGAATTATATGAAAACATGATGCGAAGACGTTTCTGAGCCAGACAAGAGCCATAAGAACCGCAAGCCAAGGATGCAAAGGAGATAGCAATGGCCTTAAACCATACTATTAAGCCACCACACCACGGTCACATTAGATGCCATCTGGAATTGCGCAGGTCACGTGCTTCCATCTGACAGTCACACAGCAAGACAGCACTCCGAGCAGTCAAGATTCTCTCCAAGACTACTCAGCTATGTGCTGATCCATACATGCGTAGGGCTTTGAAATGTCACAGGAGAACATGAACCAATCGTGAAGCACGAAGTCTAGCCAGGGATGATACTTCGAGACAGGGTAGAGAGAAAGCTTGAAAAGAGAGCTCGTACCTCCATACTGCAGCAGCCGTTGTCGATGGCTGATTAATGGGATGGATTACTGTATAGATAGTTAGACCAACTTCCAGGTCAAATATTGTACATCAAGCGAGGAAAGGAGTGTCGATCTAAACCCACCACAATTGAGTCGACAGCCAAGGCGGAGAAGCGGTAGATAAACCAGCCAAGTATTTACTTATGTCTGTCGCAGGTGAGAAGATGAGATCGGGGCAATCCATGCATCTACCGAGTCCAAGTGCGCGTGTACAGCCAATAAACCTGAATTCGGACTTGCAGCTGGTCAGGTGACGACAGAGACTATAAAGTGTGGACTGAACACGTCGAAAGTGATATATGCAAAAGAAAAGCGATATTTCAACAGTTGATGATAGCCATGATTGGCGCAATGGTTCAGTAGAATAGAAGAAGGCAAGAGGAGGTCACAGCGGAGAGGTCAGTTGAATCCACCATCCGGCAGCGGATAGTATAAGCGGGCTGTGCTGTGCTTGGGATGCAACGAGTGTCGCGTGTGTAGTCTTAGATGAGTCTTAGCAAGTATAGCACCTCGTGTTCTCGGGGAATCTACTCGAACAAATGCTCTGGATGCTCAGAGCAGCAGCGGTAATACCAGCGAGGTGAAGCAGATGGGTTAATGCCGAGCAGGAGCGAGCAATGGCAAAGAGACACCGGCGGTGGGTTGCATCGATAAGCCCGGCACCACAACTTCACCTCACTCATTCTTGGGTTCTTGCCTATTGCTTCCGCCTTCCGTATCTCATACCGCCTTTGTTGCCGCCTTAACCGTTCTAAGTTAGCCCGTTGGCTGTTTGTGATGTTTGTTTCAACACAACACATGGCGGCAGCTTTATTGGTCGGGGCGGATCCGGCCGCCTTCATGCGTCATCACCGCCTCGGCCAACTCGCCGAGGCTGGACGATCCACTGCATCTGCAGCTGCTTTCATTCCCTTTATTCTCCCTCGCATTGCTCATCATTCCCATTGAGTTTGCGAGTTTGCGAGCTGAGTCGGGCACATCAGTGCTGTCTAGTAACTCGTCATGACTACCCTGAAACCTCGCGAGCCTTACTCCCAGGAGGAGTTGGAGCGCCTCTACCCCAGCGACTTGAAGCTTCAACTGGTCCAAGTAGTGAGTGGCACCCAAGCAATGCCTCAGACAGCGTCGGGAGACTAATAACGAGCGACAGTTCCTTCGTCATGGTAAGGACTTACCGTTGGATATGTACTCGATCAGGCAATTCACTAATTAACGTACAGGTGAACGAACACCCGTGTCTTCGCGATTCCAAAACGCAGGACTCGCCCCATGTACGTCGACCTCCTGGAAACAGTACCTCTTGTAGGAACAATTCAATTGACGATCTCTGTCCATCTTTGTATAGATTGGTCGTACTGCACCGTCGCGCGCCAGATGCTCCAGATGGCCGCGAGCAATAAGGACCTCACAACCTGGAACGGATTCCAATGGCGTCGGAAACACGAGTCCTTCGGCAGCAAGGATGAAACCGTCGCTGCAGTCGGCGCATCGGGTGAGGTGGACGGTATCTGGTAAGTGAGATCGGAATTAGGGTTGGGAAAGCTCTGCTGACCGTCTGGAACAGTCTACACGGCGAATTGACCGACAAAGGACGCGAGACAACCTATGCACTGGGCCAGCGCCTCCGCCATCTCTACGTCGACCAGCTCGGCTTCTTGCCCAAGATCAAATCTGACACTGAGGACATGTACCTCCGTGCGACACCCATTCCCCGTGCGCTCGAGTCCCTTCAACAAGCCTTCTGGGGCCTATATCCCCCCAATGCCCGCACCCAGGACTTTCCGCCCCCTGTGATCGTAGGACGATCCGTATCGGAAGAGACACTGTTCCCCAACGAGGGCAACTGCCGTCGCTTTAGACAACTCTCCCGACTATTCGCGGATAGGGCCGCACTCCGATGTACGTAACACTCTTCTTCCTATACCGTTTCGTTGCCCGTCGATCACTCACCCTAGACACCAACAGGGAACGAAACCGACGAAATGGAGTACCTGAACAAGCTCTGGTCCAAATGGATGCCCGACACCTCCCCCCGCGTGGCCGTGGACTCCCACCCGCGCCTCTCCGGCATCATGGACACCGTCAATGCCACTGACGCCCACGGGCCCGCCACCCGCCTCCCCAAGGAATTCTACGACACCAAAGCCCGCGAGTACATGGACCGCATCGCCGTGGACGAGTGGTACTCCGGCTACACCGACAGCGTGGAGTACCGCAAGCTGGGCATTGGCGCGCTGATGGGAGACGTCGTCGACCGCATGGTCAGCACGGCCGTCGCCCCTGGGGGTTGGCGCAGCGAGGCCGCCACCAACCACCGCCAAAGCCAAGCCATCAAGTTCGCCATGAGCGGCTGCCATGACACCACCCTGGCCGCTATCCTGAGCAGTGTCGGCGCCTTCGGAAACAGCAAATGGCCCCCCTTCACTTCCTCCGTGGCCATCGAACTCTTCTCCAAAGCCTCCGACAACGACACCACCACCACCAACGCCAGTGAGAGCGGAACCTCCTCCCTCCTCTCCCTCCTCCCCTCCTCCTCCACAAAGTCCCAAATGGAAACCGACCGCGTCCCCCTCGCCGCCCTCCCCGACTCCGCCCGCCAATCCCTCCGCACCCACTACGTCCGCATCCGCTACAACGACCGCATCGTCCGCGTCCCCGGCTGCGCCGCCAAGCCCGAGAACCACCTCCCCGGCGACGAGACCTTCTGCACGCTGGATGCCTTCAAGGAGATCGTTGACAAATTCACGCCGCAGAACTGGGGCGAGGAGTGCATGCAGAACCTCGGGGAGGGGCTGTTCGGCAAGGATGACCGCGAGAAGGTTCCCGCTGGGGTTTGAGAGACCAAAACGCAAAACTGAAAGGAAAACCCGTTCTTGGTGGGTCATGTAGAGTTTTTATGGTAGTGGAGGTAGTTGTGTACATGAAGGAATTTTGCTTATATTGATTGACCAGGTATGGTTGGAGATAGCGATAGAGGGACGGGGTCCTCCAAAGACGCTCGAGTGTGTGTCATATAGGATTGGGGAAGAACTGGGTCCCGGAGGGTATGAATTAATGATTTTTTGGTAAAGCTTCAAGAACTTCCCTACGTGCATGCTCTTATCGGGGAAACTAGGAGTTGTGCAATAAGAGGTTGTCAACCGAGAGGAAGAAAAGAGGGCGACTAAAGCTCATGCGTAATCAATTGAAAACAATCCCGAACTTCTTTGTCTACTCAATTTACAATACTACATACAGGTGAACTATGTACAGTACACCTCCAACGAGACCTGGTATCTATAAGCATAACTGCTAATCTCGCCCCTTCGAAAGCTCAACCCATACCCAAGGAATAGCCGACCTCGGACCTGTAAAAAAACACTCTTCGTGCACTGGATGGATGCCATAGCCCTAGGACTGACATTGGCACCTCCCACAACACCGCTCATGGCTGTCACTCGCTCTCACCCCCACTAGCACGCGACTTCGACCTCGAACGCGCCCGGGGCTTTTTGGCGTCCTTGTCCATCTCGAAGGCTGAGGAGGCGGAAGCCTTGCCCGCACGTTTGGAAGGAGCTCTTCTAGGGCTGGTGGATCTTCTAGCTTTTCCCGCTTCGGGGTCCACCTCCATCTCATCAGCGGAGGAGGCGGAAGTCTTGCCGGCACGTTTGGCAGTAGCTCTTCGAGGGCTGCGAGATCTTCTGGCTTTTCCTGCTTCCGAGTCCACTTCCATCTCGTCGGCCGAGGAGGCGGAGGCGGAGGCTCTGGCAGCGCGTCTGGCAGCGCGCTTTTCAGCCCGGAGAGCTCTTTTGGCGTTGCGATCCTCATCGGACTCGTCGGTTGGGAGGGAGGAAGCTCCGGCAGCGTGTCTGGCAGCGCGCTTCTCAGCCCTTGCGGCTCTGCTGGCACTCATTTCAGCTCGTTCAGCGGCCCTTTCAGCTCGTTCATTGCTGGCATCCACAACCATCTCTATCTCGTCAGGCGAGGAGGCAAAAGCTTGGGCAGCGCGGTCGGCAGCATCTTTGGCAGCCCTAGCGGCCTTTCCAGCATCTTCAGCCTTGTCAGCAGCCGCTTCAGCTCTTCCAATGCTGCTATGCACATCTAGCTCTACCTTTTCGGCTGCGGCGATGGAAGCTTGGGCAGCGCGTTCGGCGGCAATTCTATGAGTCCTGGCGCCCTCTCGAGCCAATTGAGCCTTTGCAGCGGCGCGTTCGGCCTTTTCAATGCTGACATCAATCTCCGTCTTGTCGGCTGAGGAGGCTGAAGCCGTGAGAGCACGGTTGACAACCTCCTCAACTCTTATCCCAACTCTTCTAATAATTCCAGGGTTTCCATCTTCCTGAGCTGTTCCAGCTTCTGCAACGACATTCATCTCATCAGCCGAGGAGACGGAAGCCTTGCGGGAACGGTCGGCAGCCATCTCAACTCCTTCGATTCCTTCAGGTTTCCCATCCTTTCCGTTCTTTCCAGCCTCTCCAGATGTTCCGGCCTCTCCAGACGTTCCGGCCTTTCCAGGCTTTTCAGCTTGTGTGACCACATCCATCTCATCAGCCGCGGAGGCGGAAGCCTTGCGGTAACGGTTGGCACTCCAATCTCCAATTAGCTTAAAGTTTCTAAACATTCCAGCCTTTCCGGCCTTCTCGGTCTCTTGAGTCTTCTTGTTAGCCGCCTTCAACTTCGAATTCTCTTTCTTTGCCGCCTTCAACTTCGAATTCTCTTTCTTTGCCGTCTTCTGCTGCTGAGCCTTCTCCGCAGATTCCGCTGCAGCTCTCTCCAGGATCGCAAACAGCATCTCCATGGCCGGTACATAAGCTTGGAGGACGGGGAAATCTCCGACACGGAGGCGCATGTAGTCAAAGGCGTTGACGTAGGGCCCGTTGTACTGGGTGCTGGGCTTGGCAATGATCACACCGCCGGCGTCTTCGTTCGAGCCCTCGAGCTGGGGGCTGCTCTCCTCAGCCAGCCCTTCCTCATCATCAGGGACGTCCTTGGTTCGCAAGCTGGCAGAGCTGTCCGAACCTGCTTCATCCTGGGCCTTCTGCGAAGACTGGCCGTTGTTCATTGTGACAGTTCCCTGGTAGCGTTGGCTGAAGTGGGTGAGGAGGAGGGCCCGGGCTTGCATCTGACGCGCGACTTCCAAGGCTTCGGCGTACGTGGAGTGTTTCTTAGCTATCGCGCTCCCCGCCATGTCGTTTTGAAAAGTGGCTTCGTGGATGAGAACCGTCGAGCCGCGGCCTGTAGCTGCAAAGTTCTCGGAGGGACGGCAGTCGCCGGAGAAGGAGAGCTTGAAGCCATCGGGGTACACAAGGGTCACAGCCATGGATCCACGGCAGTGTGAAACTCGGGACGGTAGGATGTCGGAAAGGCCGATGGCTTCACGGAGAAGAGCCGAGAGGGGGTCCGAATCATCCTGGAATCGAAGCTTGGTTGTTTTGGGTTGGGATTGCGCCTCCCGTTGCCCAGGGAAGGTACCGTCGGCGCGGCAGTGACGATAAACAAATGATGTCTCGTAAATACCACTTCGGATCTGTTCGGGAAAAGCGCTCAGAGCCGTCACCTTTTGGAAGCCGTAATCCTCGACACTGGCATATTCCTCGAGCCAAGTAGTCATCATTTGTTCGCACACAACGAACAGGCGCTTATCCCGTAGAATCTTGGACATGTCTTCCTCGATCACGTCAGTCCGTGGCACGCCATTGGGATAATTTGCCTGATACCAGGCCTTGATCACATTCGCAATACCAAGGTGGTGGTCAGCGTGGAGATGACTGATCCAAATCATCCGCATATTCTGGAAAACTTCGCGCAATGCCTTAGTTCCAAAGACGCGCTTGAGCTGCCCAAGAGTGCCCTCGCCGCAGTCGAGTAAGTAATAACCATGGCCTGGTGCGTGAATGAGCGTGCTGGAGACATTTCGATGCTTGGATGGTACTGATGACCCAGTTCCGAGAGTAATAATTTCGACGTCAGCACCAGGAAGGTCCTTTCGGAATGCTGCCAGTTTATCCTGGAACTCGGGAGTTTCTTCCTGTCCAGAAATTATTTTCATTTGAGTCTCGACGGCCTTCGGCAACTTTTCCTTCGCGTTTCTGGGATCATAACGAGGAGTAACTTCAGATTCATCGATCTCGAAAGTGGGTTCCATGTTGATAATCAGGCCCGGCTCTAGAGGTCGCAAGGGGGCACGTTTTTTCGTTGGAGGATCATTGAAGAGCCTGACTTGTGGAACAGTCACATTGTCATAGGCAGGCAGGGCATAGTTGTCGGGCCTGACCATGGCCATCTGCACCGTCGACTCGGCAACCTCTTTCATGGCCAGGTAATCGGGACAGTAATCGGGACTGGAGACCGTATGCGTGCAGTGCGACATCTTCGCGACGAATTCGCGAAGCTTGGGATGATCTCCCACACGTGGGCCCAGGATCCAGATGAAAGCTTCCAGATTCAAGGCCGCCGTAGGTGAGTCCCACTCAGGGCGGTTGACCAGGTTCTCCACATAGGCTCGCGAGGGCAAATCTATGATTGCGACACCTTTGCCAACCTTTTCCTCATCAAGAACCATATCGGGCGTGATAATTTGACCATCCTCTGAGATAACGCTATCACCTCTGGTCAGCGTGGCGTAATCCGGGCCTCTACGGACCTTCAGAGCCTGAGCCTTGAGAGGGTCAAACTTCCCTCTAATGTTGTGGTTCCGGACGATGTAAGAGATGGCGTCTTCGTTCCAAGACACGGGAGGAATCCTCTCCACATTGGCACCAGGCCAAGGTTTGCGCACCAGCACGGTAATGTCAGGAACTGGCGTGCGGCCTCCAGGAGTCGGGCCGGTGTACCGTCGCAAATCCTTGGTTACCGGGTCCCTGACAAACATGAGTCCGGGCATCTGCACGTCTTTTAATTTAGTCTCATGTAAAGCATCCAGTTTCCATGTCGAATTAAACATGTTCGACACCACATTTTGCCTGATAACCTGTTCGGCTAGCGCCGCAGCCTTCTTCTCCTCGACCCCCGCTTTGTCCTCCTCGCGAAACTCCTCATGGCTGCGCTTCCTTGTGCGCTTGGCCTTAGGCTGAGAATGAGACTCAGGGCTCACGGCCATGACCCAGACCTTGATATTCTGATCTGACCACGTCGGTTGTTCGTATGGGTCTGGGAGACCCCCACGCTGTCCAGCCAGGCTGTCCCCATCATGTTCCTGCATATACATGGGTAGACCCTGGCGAAAGATGAATTTGCGCGCAGTAGCCATCAGGTGCGTGAGATTTTTCCCGCCGTGAACCGTCAGGGTCCCTCTCTGCGCGATCCGCTTGCTTCCCGGCTGTGAAATAGGCAGTCCATCTGCCTTCCCCTCAGCGGATTCCTGCTTCGGCCTCTGCTGCCGCTGGTCTGCCTCTTTCTTCTTCTGCTTCTCCGATAAATTGGCTGCTGCGCTGGCCAGTCCATCGGCTAGCGTGAGGATGACGCCGAACAGCCCTCCCACGTTGCTCATCTCCAACCGGCCCGTGAGGAAGATGTCGGTCATGAGACCGAACTTGACCGACGTTCCCGCGCATGCTCGCTGCGTTCCTTCGGCGACCTGACCGAAGAGGTAGCGTTTATCGGGGAAGTTGAGAACGACCGCGCTGCCCGGGGTGTCGGCCGTCGGCGTAGTTACCACTTGATAGTAGTACTTCATGGGATTGATTTTGTCTATCGAGGGGTCTGAAATGAAGCCCTTGATTGGGTTGTCTTGGTGCTCGTAGAAAATGTACTGGTGAGTGGATCCGGGATCAACGAGGCGAGGAACGGGGAGGAGATGCCTTGGTTCGAGTAGACTTCTATATCTGAGGTTTGATCGAAGGGCCGGGTGCAGTCGTTGGGAGTAGTATAGGTGACGAGTGTTCCGGAGGCGTACGATGGAAGGAAGAATGGTAGATGGAGGAGATATCGACGTGAAGCCAACTCGTGGGGAAGCGCTGGCGGTCGGCCTCCTAAGGAGTCGGAGTGAAGCCAGTGTGATTGATTCTGGAACAAAAGCGAGAATGAATACTAATGAACATGCGCCAGACCTTTGGCAGTCATAGTCTTCAGTCTTGAAGTCTCAGAACTAAAGAAGGACGCCGGGGGTAGGCCGATTGTCCGACTATGATGACTTGATTGATGAAGGAGGAAAGGCAAAGCAGAAATTCACAAAAGCTGCCGCGGCGATCGGGTCGGGGAAAAGCTCCACCCGCACTGCTTTCCATCGAACTAATTGGCCAAGTGACCACCTTATCTTATATACTAACTTAAGTTACGATACATACGGTAGCACCAGGTACCTACAAATAAAAATACTTCTAACGACGACAGTCCAGACTTCTTTCCAATCATATTTACAGTATATTTGATAGAAACTTTTGGATATGTTCTGTATTGAATGCCTTGTGTTTCCTTATCCGCCAGTACCCAGTACCTTGCATCCTGTAAGTCCGTCCCTAGTAAAAATCGCATCCAAATAGACCAATCCGTATAACCCCATAAGCGCATTCGAGACCTCCAGCATCTAGAGGCATGTAATGAAGGCAAAAAAAGAAAGAAAACAAATGGAAAAATGGGAGGTAAAGGAAACCCAGATTGAGTGCAAGCGACTGCATTCCAAGCAGATGATTGAGAGCTTGAGAAGAAAATCATTGACGAAAGAGAGACATCGGTGTCTACACCTGAGTATTTCGGAAAGCCAACCCACGAGCAGGCTTACATCACGCAAAATTGTAAAATTCAAGTTGCAAAAAGGGGAATCATGAGAGGTGAGAAGTCATCAAGGAAACACGTTCAAAGGCGGCCTCCATACTGTGGCAGAATTGAGCAAACCGAGTATCACAGTCCTGAGGCTGGTTCTCGACCACCAGCTCAAAAGTAGCTGTCGGTTTCTCTGAAATACTCCCAAAGGAGATCGCGGGAGAATCCGAGGAAGAAGCACGGGGCGCGTCCAGGAATAGGGCAAAAGCGGGATCGAACTCGTCAATCTTGACATCCGGGTTCTCGACGCCGACAGTGACGGGCGCCTTAGCGTCCACGGGCAGAGACTCAAGAACAGGAGCTTCACTCTTTGCACCAGAGATGTTGCAAAGGCAAGACTCCATGAAAGTGGAAGACTTTCCAGATAAAGACTCAGAGTCGATAATGGGCTCAGGGACCTCCAGTACGGCGAAGACCGAGGCATTGCCGAAATTCATATCAATGCCCGAGTTCCAACCCGCATTGTTCATGCCCATAGCGGAAGCATCAAGTCCCTGGTTTGGAACCATGACCATGCCAACCTGAGAAGGCTGTTGCATAGGTGGTTGTGACATGGTGGGTGGTTGTTGCTGGGGTTGCGGTTGAGGGTGTGCTGATTGCTGTTGAGGCTGAGGCTGAGGCTGCGGCTGATGTTGGTGTTGAGGAAGTTGCTGTGGTTGCGCTTGGTTGGACATCGGGACACCGCCGACGCTGAGTTCGTCCAGAACCTGGCCGAAATGAGGCGAAGACAGGAGCGTGCGAACGAGGTCAGTCAGACGACCGTTCTCCTCGAATAGGGCACGGTTTTGAAGACGAAGCTCATGAGCTTCATTGGTTTTGGCGGCCACTTCACTTTCGAGTTGACCAATATATTCTGCGAATTCGATCAGCTACTAGCCTTCTATTTTTTTCTTCCAAAAAAAAAAAAAGAAAAAGAAACCAAGTCATTGGTACATACCCTTTCTGCGAGAACGGAAGGCACGAGCGGAAACCTTATTGCGAAGCTGGCGACGTTCCTTGCTGCTAAGCTTCTTGCCCTCTTCACTGGCCAGGAGGCGCTCATCTTCATCCATATCCTGCTCGTCCTTTTTGGCCTTGGCCATCTGAGGCAGAGATGAAGGAGACGGCGAATCATCGGGGGAGCCCATGGCATTCTGGCGCATCTGCTGCAAAAGCCGCGAGATCCGCTCCTCTACCAGTGGGTTGGGTGGACGAGGAGTCTGGCTGTGAGGAGCCCCATGCTGATGCATATGCTCATCCAATCGACGCTGTTGCTGCTGGAATTGCTGCTGACGGAGGAATTCATGATGTCTCTGTTGTTGTGCCGCCTTGGCCATGGCAGCTTGCTGCTGGTGCATACCAGGATACATGCGACCCACTTGAGTGGAAGGACCAGCGGGAACAACCTCATGACCGCTCAAGGCGGTTGGATCCACGAATTGATTTCTGTTGTTAGGGTTCGGCGAAAGGAAGTAGGCCGAGGCGGTTCCCATATTGTCAGACTCCAGGTCCATTTCGGAAGGGTTCCGTGTCGGGGGACTGTTGAAATCCATCGGAGCATCTTCGCGCTTGATCTGACCACCAGCGAACATATCACCATTGATCGGGTAGTTGGGGCTTGCACCACCGAATCCCATTCCATTCATGTGGTTGAATGTCATGGCATGAGCTAAAGCGCCCGGGGGCAGACCGGTTTGTTGCTTATGTTCGTCATACTGGTGACTCGGGGCCTGAAACGCGACTGGCGTTGGGTTTGTCGAAGCGAAACCAGCACTTCGTACATCGCCTGCGTTGAATTCAGTACTGGGCAGAGTGGGTTGGGTGATGAGTGCGGTCTTTGATCGAGCAGTTTCCGCGGTAGTGTAAGCAAGTTGGTCTAGATTCAGGAACGATTCAATGTCTTGTTCATAAGTTGAAGGCGCAACAGCCGGGTGTTCCGCCAAGGTAGCCATGATGACGAAACTGTGGTTGGTAAGGAGGAAGCGAGACTGCAGTCAAGAAGACTCGTTGATAGCGATGGGATCGGAGTCTCAGTCAGTGTCAGTGTCGAATTCAAACGAAAGTCACAAGGGTCGGATAAGGATAGGGATAATGAGAGACGATGAGGCGTGGTCGAGTCGAAGCGATGGTCGGAAAGGGCTCGCAGTCGAGAGATGGGAGAATGTGGTGTAGTTGGGAGGGGAGATGTGAGGAAGCAAATGGGGGTATTGTACAAGAGTAAAAGCAGACTCAATGGGAAGAGGAAGAATGGGGGATCAGTATAGTAAGGTAGGGGGGATGTTGTGTGAAGGAGGAAGGCGGTGGTGGTGGAGAGATGGGGAGAGGGAATTAATGAGGGATACAGGCTAGTAGAGGTTGGCCCGTCTATGGGGATGGATGGAGCTGGCAACGAAGAGGGAACGGCTCCAGGAGACTCAAGTGAGAAGGACCAGGAATAGAAATCAGGTGTAAAAGGCTTGCGCGTCCTTCGATGACTCAGCGGCGCTGTTGCTCGGAGCCCCGCCCCAATTGAGATCTTCATTGGCTGGACAAAGTCAAGCCAGGGCTAGTGGATCCACCCTTGGCGCTAGGCTCCACCGAGAACAATTTAGCTCGTTCCACCGTTACTCTGCTGGTGGTGCTGGTGGTGCTGGTGTGCCGTTCACCCCTAGGAAGGGCAGAAAACAACCTTCAATAATCATAATCAAGACGAAATAACCTGATTGAGGTGAATAAAAAAAAGGTACCGTATGCATAGTAAATAGGAGATCTTCTGATAAGATTGCATGTTTATTTTGTTTACTACGGAGCTTGTATGCTCGTTTTGTTCTCTCTTACCTCTGGAATCAGTCTATCTGGCCTTTTGTCGCATTGATTCAAGTCAAATGAGATCATGTCAACCATCGACTGAAAAATTGTCTGAAGGAAGGGAGAACTTAAACATACTCCTTCGTTAAGAAGGAATGAGGGCCTTCCAGTGCGGGAGGTATGTGCGCCCCCATCAAGTTTTTGCAGGGCCGTCCATCTTTCCTCCTCCCCTGAATGACTGTTCTTTCCCCCCCTTAAACTCTCTCGTAACCTCGCGCGACTGACGGGCCACGGCTTGTCGGCTTCACATTAACTTCCACTCCCCTGTGCCACTACGCCGCATCCAGGCGATTTTTCCGATTGACTGAAACGGCGGCCGAGGTGTACGATCTCAATGCCAGACATGCGGTGGCACCAATAGGAGATCCTTCGGCAACATCGTTCACATTCTGATCCAGATAAATCCTGACTTATGACGTTAGTGGCTCGATCGAACCAATGGCGAACATCCGTCGAGTACTCATGAAAAACTCCTTCAATCATCATACAGCTGTGGTGTACCGAGTAACTCTTTACTTAGTTAAGAATCGCATTGGATAGATCGCAATTTCCAACACTTGCAAACCTATCCTGGTGTTCGAATGCAGTGGGACGTCGTCGAGCAAATCGACCACTACCGATGGGATGAAACCTGGGGTGATGGGGACCAACTTCCGGTCTCGAACCACGCAGTTGAGGACAATTCTGATTCCAACCAAGTATGCAACCTGTACATTGCGACAGCGCACCCACTCTCATGTATCCTCCAGGTGAGGTCAATGGAGTAATCCAACGAAGCTCATGAATCTCGACTCCCTCTTTAATTGTTCTAGTCCCCTACACGCCCTACACTGTAGTCTAAGGTCATCCAGGAAAATGGATTGTGGGTGGATAAACAGCCCTGCTGGGCCTTACCTGACCTGACCAAGTGTCTTTTTCCCAGTTCCCACCGAGAAAAGCTTGGCGGGTGAACGCGGGCCTAGCGGCTTAGCCACTCTGCACCATTCAGAAAATCGGCCCTTGACGCCCGTTTCGGATTAGGGCTAATTCTTGCTCCGTTCGCCCTCACGTATCGAATTTGCTCAACTTTTCCGGGCATGGGCGTCAATC